CGTCCCTCTCCCTGCTTCGCCCGGGCCTCGCCAGCCTCCCGCCTGCTTCCCTCGCCAGGGCCCCGGGTCTCCAGGTCGCCTGCTCCTGTCACCCCGGGCCGGCTGCCTGTAGCCGCCCGTGCCATCTGCTGTCCGCTGCTGCTTCCACTCCCGTGGATCCACTTCTCCTCCTGGATCCCTTCTTCACCGCCTCTCGTGCCCTTCGCCCTGCTAAGAGCCTCTCTCCTCTCTGCGGCTCTCCCCTGCGTCGGCTTACTCGCCTTTTGTGCAGCACCTGACTGTGCCTGGAGCAGCTCCCCTTTCTTTTCTTGTTCCCTCTCTTATGTGCCCCCCAATACTCTGTTACCCTCGATAATGAGGATCCCGTTGGAGCACTGAAGAGGAGTAAGAAGAGCTTGCTTGGCGTGCCCGTGTGGGGCTGCTACCTTCTTTCCCGCTCCCCTCCTTTGAGGGGGGCCTAGCCCCCGACCAGCCTCCTGCTCCTCCAGCATTTGCGAGCCAGAGTGGTGGCTGTGGTGTGGCAGGCGGCAGGATGACTGACACCCGGCGGAGGGTGAAGGTTTACACGCTAAATGAGGACCGCCAGTGGGATGATCGAGGCACAGGGCATGTGTCCTCTTGCTACGTGGAGAGGCTGAAGGGCATGTCCCTGCTAGTCAGGGCAGAGAGCGATGGTAAGTGTGTATGTCTGAAGGTAAAATCTTTCCTCATCCTACCCGGAAAAGGAACTGGGCTTAGCTTTGTGTCTGTTGTCTTCATGTTTTGCTGCGTAATTCAAATGCGATTCCTAAAAGCAAGTAGACGCTAATTGTAGTTCATCTGTATTAGGCCAAGTGAAAGAACTGGAAGATCGCCATCAAGTGCAGGCATAGTAGGCGCCTGGTTCCTGGTGAATACACAGTGTTGCATACAAAATACATTCAGGTCTTGTTGTAAATCATGTACGGGTTTGGAAACCTAGTGATCTATTGCTAGATGCCCGATGTACTCCAGTTTCAAAACTGATCAGTGCGATGTGTCCTTCCTTAGATGTTTCTGGAAAAGATCCCCTCGTGAAAAGAGTAGTTCAAAACTTAGATCATGTTTTTAGTAGAAATTTTTAAAAGGTCATTGGATGGCTAACATCCTTTTTTTCCTCCTTCCCCTCCCCCCTTCTCTTTGATAGCAAGAATTATGCAAGACATTCTAAAAGCTATCAACAGTTATCCAAGTACAGTTGTTATAGTAGTAAAGACGATACAATGGACAGAACAGCATTTTTGGGGATGCTTTTTTTTTTTTTATGGAATAGTAGTTCTTAGTCCTTCAGCAGTTCTAGATCTTCCTGTAAGTAAATTTAATACTATGCATTATCGACTTCCTTCACATTTTCTGACAACATATGACAATGATAAAGGTTGAGTGGTACCATCTACCCCTGTAGCTACATGATTGGGCTAGTCTTGATTATTGGTTGAGTTCATGACTGCTATGATCAGAGTAGTTTTTAAAATGTATACTTTGCAATATCTAGCATGTACCGTTTTTCTAGTGAAGTCTGTCAATGCATGACTTAGTACTTCATTACATATATAGCTATTGTATTTAGAGACTTGTAGATCTAGTTGTAGCTTGTGACTTTTGACAGCCCTTGTAATTTTCCTTATTTGGCTTTTTCATTTTAGGAACTAGGATGAAAAGCAATTTGAGAACAATTATTTTCTACTGTTTGAGAAAGTTCTGACAAACTGTACCATACAGCAAAGATCATAAACTGATATGGCAGAATCAAACTTTTGTCTAAGCAGGATTTTGATAATTGAGCTTCTGATAAGCATGAATCTCAGGGTTTTGTAGTTTCTTGATTATACTTTAAAAGGTTAAATTGGTACTTGATTTTATTTATTTTACACTGAAGAAGATGCATTTATAGTTTGACCAACTTCACAGTGTAAGAGAAAATGTTCAAAATGGAAATAGACTTAGTACTATTTCAGCATGAGGGAGAGAAGTAAAAAGAAGGTTATCACAAAATTTTTAGGCTAATCTTTGTGGTATGTTTAGATAGAGTCCTTTCTGTCTACATGGCTCCTGTGCTCATGTTTAAAAACTGTCATGTCTTCCATAACACTGAACAATTTTCTAATTTCTTTTTAATTCTTTGTAGAAAAGAGAGCAAAAGAACTGCAGTTCATAACCTGCTTGTGAAGAAATAGCCCATTCAAACTAAAATCCCATTGTTGACTTTCAGTGGGATATGTACGCTTACAACTTATTAGACCCTGAAGTGGACTGTAGTTCTCGGCTTACTTGTTGTAAATGAACATCTGTAAGAAGGAAAATACAAATTGGAGTAAATTATTCCAAAACAAACATGAAGTCATTACTTTGTGTGGTGTAGCTAAGATACTCTAATCAAAGCAGAACTGGGTCAAACTTACTAAATGCACCTAGTACACTGAATTATATTTAATAGGAGACCTCTCTCAACCAGCATACATATACTTCAAGAGTATTAAATAATACACAGAGCCTAAGTTCTTAATTTAGTAGGTAGTATCAGTCCTGGGTAAATGTGCACTCTATTAATAGGCCAGTTTTTCTAACTTGCTTATGTAAACAGGTCATAAAACTTGATTTATATTTTGTTTACTCCCAGTGTCAATTGTTTGTGGGCTGATTTTTGAAAGCAAATGCAGTCATCTTTACATGTGAGGAAATGGTTTGGAAATAGGTAATGCCAGATGTGTGTTTTAGGTACTATGCAATTTGTGTGTTTCCTTATGTGCTTTTTTCGTCTACATGAAGTAGTTGACTGTGATTTTGGTTGGTTTTTTTTTTTTTTTCTACTTACCAAAACCATACAAGTACTAGGAACCTGACCTGTATACCGCTTGCATCCATGTTTCCATTGCGTTCTTGTATTGTCTTTCTTTGTCAGCTCCTCCTCTTTCCACAATGAAACTTCTTCCTTCCTCCTTTTCTAAACCAGCTTTTCCTAGCCTTTGAGCTGAGATTCATCCTGTGCACGCTGGCATGTTCTTGCTGACTTACTCCAGGAAGTTGACTGAAAACCTCGGGATCTGCCTGAAGTTGAGGGCACCATTTCCTGAGTGGGGGAGGCTGTGGGGATGTTAGCAGTAGTTCCTGCTGTGTAGGGGAAGTTCCCACTCTTGTTAAAGGGCCGGTTCAGCTGTGCACAGAGCAACAGGAGAATTACCAGAGGTTCATTTGGCTAGCACACAGTTCAGTCTTTTGATTATGCAGCTGTGACTTGGTGTAGCTCCATAGCTGCTTTACAAGTGGTTGAGATTTTATGGTAGGGTCACAGTGTTCAGATAGGGAGCTACAGTCAGTATGCCAAGTCCAAGGTAAGCGATCATCTGGAACTGGAGCAATAAGAACTGAATAACAGTACGTTTTTTTTTTTATCTATAGGGCTGGGGTTTTTTTGTTTTGGGTTGGTGTTTTTTTAACACCATCCTAAAAGAAAAGAATTTAGAGCAGAGGAGTGATTTGTGTTGCTGTCTGAGATGTCTAATGCTCCCAGGCACTAAACTTTAAAAAGTTGTTGCAGGCAAATTGGAGTAATCTATTATAGCACAGAAATATTGTAAGCTGCTTTCAGGTCAGATATATTATGTTTTGAAACAAGGAATTGTTAACTTTTTTACTTAAAATCCTGAAAAATTTCTCTGCATGATTCCTAGTTGCAGTATATTCTACTTGACTTGCAGTAGAGCAATAGCAAACTCTTTCCTTACAAATGGTCACTTTCCATGCGAGTTTCTGTGTATAGTCAGAAGCCTTTGATTTCTTACCTGTTTCTTACATGGTATTTTAGGCTGCTGTGGCCTGCCTCATTCTTAAAATGTCTATGTGCTTCTACATTTTCAATGCATGGCTTCAGGTAGCTTTTTTTTTTTATTGTTCTGAGCCCTGATGACTGAAGTGACCTCTAAAATGAACTTTTCTGTTCAACAAACTTGGATTAATTTAAAGGCTTAAGCTTTTAATTAAAGCTTACTAGTCCTGTAACTAAACTTTTTGACAAGCCGAAGTGAACTCCCCCACTGGAGGTCATATTTGTCATCTTTCTTTTAGGAACTATCTAATCACTTTTATTCAGAAGTTGTAGTTTGCCACTTCTGAATTCTGTATGTTAATGACTTTTGCCACAGGGTAGGCATCTGCATCCTCACTGTTTCTTCAGACTAGGTATCAGTAACCCTGTAATACAGAAGGCTTAGCCAAAATTTGGCTTAAGTTTGCTTTACCTTGCTCAAACTCAAGGGATGAATTTATTCATTTTTAAGAAAGTAGCACAGAAAATTTTGTGGTTATATACTTAGGTTAAAATGAAAGAAAAATGTGTGTGTGTGTGTGTGTTGTTTCTTTTCTTTTCTTCTGGTTCTTCCCTCTACTAAATGTTTGGGTTTGACCCTTCCGAAATGTGCTAGACTGAGGAATAGTCTCTTGTGAAGGCAGAACATGTTCTTGGGCCTTGGTTTGAGCTGTTTTCTAAGTTTCTGTGGACTGGTTTCTGTGATTCAGTAGCAGCAGAACTGGTTGCAGAACTTAAACCTCTGTGCGCATCTTGCAGAAAAACAGCTCTTCAATTGGAATTTTCTTTTAAACATAAACATGTTTATACTGGTGAGGGGCAATGAGAGACACTGTACCTTTTCCCCTTTTGAGGAAGGATCCACATAACAGTTTGGTGGGAGAGCAGCAGTATTCCATATCAGCAGGTCTCCTCCATATGCATATATGTAAACAAGTCTGTGGAGCTGTTGTTTAAGACTGCTGGATTAGGTTATTTGATGTTCTCTAAGTATCTTTGAAAATAGCATTGTATATCTGTATGTAATCTCTTTTGAGCAAGTCTTTTCTTATACAGGCATTCCCTTCACAGCACAGGATGGTGGTGTTATACTAACAAAAAAAACCCGCTGTGCTATATTGCATTACAGTGGCAAATAACAAAATTCTGCAAATAAATGTTTTCTTCTTTATAAGTCATTTCAGATGTTACGTTCTGGCACCAGTGTTTCGCAGTTACCTTTACAAATTCATTCAAGGCTACAATTCAGAAATTAACTAGATCTGCATAATTTTGGGGGGGTTTATTAAAACCGTAGCTTGTATTAAGGTGAGTTTTCAGGTCTTACCTAACTTTGAATAGAATGAGTGGGACAATTAAGATGAAATTTTGTTCATGTATTTTTATAAAGTTGACTGGATAGTCTTAACATATTCTAGGATAGTATCAAGAGAAAAATACCTACATAGAAAGCAATGGCTCATGACAAATGCAAGACTAAGCGTCTTGAACTGTATTTAGGAAGCAATACTGATGCTAACATTGAATGGAGAACAACTTCATTTGCTGTATGTTAAACTTCTGTAACCTTTTTCTGAAGAATATATTTGTGTTACAGCCATCTGTTACTGTTGCCTGGTTCCCAGAAGCAAGTAGCAGAGACCTAAAACTGCCTCATAGAAGGAAGGGGCCTGATCCTGTAAAACTTACTATATGAATGTAACCTCACTGAACTAACTGGTAAAATAGTCACTGATTTTGAGTTGTTGAACCCTTTGGGGGAACAAATTGCACAAATAGAGCATTGGATTCTCCAGAAGTATGGATTTGGGGCAGTTACAAGCTTTAGAGCACCGTTTACGCATTGTTATGTTTCTATCTCCAAATTCATATTTTTCTAGTTATTGTCCAGAATGTTGAGGAATAAGTTGAATCATATAATCAGAAGCAAGTCAAGCTTTATAAGGCTTGATTTGTCTTTCCTCCAAGTGTCAGGTTTAGTAGAGAAGAAGAAATGCTCTTTTGTGGTAATTCTACTAAAGAGGTCATTCTCCAGTGTCTGCTTCTAGCCTGGAAGATGAAATGTCTGCATTCAGTTGTCTTCAAGATTTTTTTTTTTAATACTATTTTGTCAAACACGGTGTTCAAGTTATGTATGATACTCTGCTAATTTCAGGATTTCCATGTCTGTGTGTTCAGCAGTTACAATATAATGTTGAAATTATCAATTGCTTTTAATTCTTACAAGTTTCTAATTCATATTTGCTGCTATTAAATATTTCAAGACAGCAAAAACTTTCTATAAGTTACTCAACCACGTTAATAGCACAAAATAATATTCTAAAACTTCATGTAGTTGAAGCTGAGGCTTTGAAACTGAAAGTAAGATTGAAGTGAAATAACTGCCTATAGCTGATGTCGTAACAGAAAAGGGAATGCTGGTTTTAGTTGTTCACTAGGCAAACTCAAAATTTAAAGCTCAAGACTATGGCTTAAGTACCACAGTGTACTGGATTCATCAGTAAAGCTCTTCTTAGATGTTTTACTTCTCTGTCCTGCTCTATACTTTGTGATTTTTATTTTTTTCTTTATGCTGTCACACTTAAGCAAATAAGCTGCTTTGTTAACAGAGCTGATGCAGGTTAGAAAACTGGGAAAACTCTCGAAAAAAGAAAGGGTCATCTCTGTGGTTTGGGGGGGACATTGCTTTTTTGTTGGTGTCTTGTTTTCTCTTGAGGTCTATTTAGTTCAGTTTTGTTGCTGGATTGTATCTTAGTAAACAGCTCTTACTGCAAGAGCAGTTGAGACAGGGCTTCTCAAGCCAGCTTCGTTACTGAAGATTGCTTCTTGCAGAACAGACTTAGAAATTAGGAAGAAGCAGCCATCACAGGTAAGTTACTTTGTTAACTAGAAAAAACAAAAGATGAATTAAATGTATCTGATGATCACAGAGTAAGCTAATGAATATAAAAATCCTTGGTAAAGCTTCTAAGTTCCTGAAGTAATAACCTTTCTTACCCCACCTGGAGTACTGCCTCCAGCTCTGGAGTCCTCAGCACAAGAAAGAGATAGACCTGTTGGAGGGGGTCCAGAGGAGGGCCACAAAAATGGTCAGAGGGAGGGAACACCTCTCCTGTGAGGACAGGCTGAGAGAGTTGGGCTTGTTCAGCCTGGAGAAGAGAAGGCTGCGGGGAGACCTGATTGTGGCCTTTCAGTACTTAAAGGGGGCCTATAGGGAAGATGGGAACAGACTTTTTAATAGGGCCTGTTGTGATTGGACAAAGGATAATGTTTTTAAACTAAAAGACGGTAGATTTAGACTAGATATAAGGAAGACTTTTTTTTTTTACAATGAGGGTGGTGAAACACTGGCACAGGTTTCTGAGAGAGGCTGTGGATGCCCCATCCCTGGAAACATTCAAGGTCAGGCTGGACGGGGCTCTGAGTAACCCAATCTAGTTGGAGACGTCCCTGCTCATTGCAGGTGTGTTGGAGTAGATGACCTCTAAAGGTCCCTTCCAACTCAGAGCATTCTATGATTCTATGATCTTCTATTAGTCAGTAGCAATTCTTCAGGAAAGGAGTGTGGTTTTTTTCTGTAAATGTAACCTATGAGGTTGAGAATAGTGATACTTAGTAAAGAAACATTGGTTTGGGATATTTTTTTCTGTGGATTTTATAATTGGTAAAACTCTTCAGATAGTGAAAACTAGCTCGTTGTTGATTCTACTGTGAGATTTGGAAGTACACTTTTCATTTCCAAGTATGTTTTTCAAATCTAAGTAATTTGTTTTCTTGTCCTGTCTTAAAGTCTCAGGCTTCCATATTTGAGGTGGTTGAAGCATTTTAGTTTTTCTTTAGTGTAGATTTTGTGAGGATATTTGGCAGATACTCTAATAATATAAATGTAAGATTGCCTTAGAGCTATTAGCTGTGAAACTGAGAAGTTCAGACTTTTCTTAAAGAATAAATTTAAGCAGGTAAATGAATGGAGAAGTGCCTCTTTAAAGGGGTGCTTGCAGCTTTATGTTTTAATTACAAGACTGACTATGCAAGTTAATTTATCAGTACTTCTGTATATATCTTCAGTGAAGCTCTTCAGATACGTCAATTTAAGTCATGGCTGTAAAGAGTCCCTCATGCACTGGTATTTGTGCAGCTGAGCAGCAAGGTGGATGAGGAAGTGATTGGACCAAAAATAAAAGCAGTTTTAAGGGTTGTTTTCACCTAGATCGATCCTCCAAACCATTTAAACGTGACATATATTAACACTAATGCTTATGCGGAAGAAAGGGTAAGAAAACACAGGCATGAGAATGGAATTGCTGTTCTGTGTCCTAAATTGGTATAAGCTGCTGTGAAACCCTTATTCCTAAGTTTATCATATCTGAAGTTTTTTGTTATTGGCAGTCACAATGGTTGCTGCTCTAAGCATTAGTTTCTAGATATGCTTTCCAGCAAACCAATATAAATGTTTTAGCTAAACTTTAAGAACAAATACTGCATGATTAGGAAATTTTGTACAAAACAACCATAGGTGATCTATGGAATGCAGTTGTAGTGCTTTTTGTGTGCAGACTTTTTGCAGACTTTATCATCTCTAAAAAAAATTTTCATGGAAAAGTCATTACTAAAAATAAGAAGGAAGTTACAAATCCAGTTCTAAAAATGCTCTTGAATGTTCTGTGCTATGTGAAAATATCTTTGAGGGAAAAATGAAATGTAAAGCTATAGAATATGGGTTTACAGGCTTACTGTTGGGAGGAAAGGTGTTAATACCCACTTGAGGAAAGAGTTATCGGAAGGTTCATGTTGAGATTGAAATTTTAGTACACATGTAAATAAGTGGAACTTTTTTTTTCTAGGCTCTCTTCTTTTGGAGTCCAAAATTAACCCGAACACTGCGTACCAGAAGCAACAGGTAAACTTTTTTTTTTTCTTTTTCCTCACACTTAAAGGCAGGTTCTTTAACTTCAGCAGTGTAGTAATTTTTTCGCCTCTGTTGCGAATTGTATTGTATGTTCTTGTACCAAAAAGGAGACAAAGTTGTTCTCGACTTTTTTGTGCATTCCATGATACATGTTGTGTTATTTCTCTGAATTTTTTGTGAAGTTATCTAGATCTATAACTTGCACTCTTGTTTTACATCAAAAAATGCTTTGGGAGAGACGGGCAAAGCATAGTTGTGAAAATCACAAAGTAGGTGAGGTTCCTGAGTATTATAGTATCTGAAACTTAATATCACCTGGCTTTTTTTCTTTGTATTTCAGATACTACAACTTTCAATGTATTTTATTTAAGAGAAGACTAGAAGGCTTTAAAGCTATTTGCATGTTTACCTTTGTTTGGCTTTTACTTGGAGGATGGATATGGGTTACTACTGCTTCAAAGCATTCTGTATACATAAAAGCAGCTTCTCACCTCTAGTTTGCACCTTGCTTCAATTATTTAAGCCATACATTGTGAACTCCTAAAGAATGCTACTGAGATGGGTGAGAAGTGATCTGTAGGTCTTGCACTTGTTTGCTGTTCTTATTTGATGGATGCTGAGAATTACCCTTCAAGGTTTAGAAATGCTGAACCAGATTGTTTTTTGTTGCCTGTCTGGTCAGCTCAGACTTGCTAAAATCCCGTCAGGTACAATTAATGTATTAAAACGTCTTCAGTTTTAATGGTTTATAATAATAAGCATAGATATACTGTAGTTTTGCTCAGAGGCAGTCCCAGTGGTTGTGCAGCTACAGCTGTTTGTATGTTGAACTGAATGAGGAGAACCAGTCTGGGTTTAAAATGTTCTTCCTTGGAATATTTAACCTGTATCTGCCCCTTGATGTAATTCATCATGCACCATATAAACAGTCTGTACTGAACGACTGGTAAGGCCAGTGTGGGGTGGAGAATCAATTGCAGGGAGTAAGAAGGGACAAGACCAGCAAAACCACTAAGCAAACTAACTCTTAGTTGTAATCCTGACTAGCTTGAGGTCATGGTTCTATGATATAGTAACTCGAGCTTTAGGACTCCTAAAATTACACTGAATATTTTGCAGCTCTATGTCTAAAAGTGCTGATCTAGTGTAAACTTGCTTTGCTGGTTCAAATCTGTTCAAAGAGCACTGAGGAGCGAGTTTTGTATCAGTAGGCTTTATGCCAGATCAAACATAAAGCCTACTTGAAGTAGGCATAAAATTGTAAGATCAGCACAAACCACCACACATGCCTGTCAGTGTAACAGCATTTCATATCTGAGCTTGTTGCTACTCTGGGTCAGATGTGTACTGTAATCTAGCACTGCACAAATTACTACACTGGTGATTGTGAAAATATGGTTAGAGAAATAAAAAATATTAAACATGAATCTGTCCTGTTGGAACAGCACTGTACATTTTCTGTGCTGGAAAAGAAAAAGTGCTGTTCTTAAAGCTTTCAAATGCTGCACAGACAGAAATTTATTATTTGCAGGTGGACTGTTCATATTATTTAAGCAAAGCAGTATCTGCTCTGAGCCTTAGAAATACCAAATCTTGGTGCATGTATTAATCCTACTTTGTAGCATGTTACCTTTCAGGTGAGGCCTAATTAATCTTCTCCCTTAGTAAAAGGCAAGTTCAGAGTTTAAACCTGATTCCATATTGAGCTAAGCTTGAAGCTTAGCAGCTGAAAGGAAGGATTGCTTCTTTCCAGCTCTGCTCATAGAACTCTGAACTGCCTAAACTCATTAAACCACAAGAAAATCAACTTGGTACTCCAAATCTCTCTTCAAAAACTGGTAACTCTATGTCAGCAGAAGTTTCAAGCCCTCTCACATGAGATCCACTTGTGGAACTGTGGGATGGAAGAGTGAGTGAGATCTTTCCGTTTTCGCTGCAGAATGCCACTTAGGTCGCTTCAGCTACTAGTGAAATTGCAGCCTGAGATAAAAGACTTACTTTTCAGTTTGCCTGCAGTTATCAGTTGTACTCATAAAATTTCAAGAAAAGATGTCTTAAAAACACAAGACTTCAAAGTAACTTTCCAGTGTTATGGTCTTACCAGCCTTTTATCTCAAAATTTTGTTGTGAGGGTAAACCTCCATTCCCTTTTAAAGGGGCACCTAGCAGTACATGGGAGCTGTTTTTACTGTGACATACTTAGCACGTGGCTTGTGGGCACTTCAGATGGAATAAATGGATGAGTTCTGACTTTGTTCAGGCTGACATGAGGCTTGTAAGAAGAAACAGTCTTTTATTGGAACACCTAACAAAACGTGTGATTGGAAGGAAGGGGAGATGTGTGATAGTTAAGTTCTTGGGGAAACTTGCTATGCTAGTTACTTTGGGTTCTTCGACAAGCCTATAGATGCCTTTGTGTTAAACAGTGAAGTTCTTCCACTGCTGAAAGAACCTTCTACCTATGCTGCACTATTAGTGCCAGCGTGAAACAGATTGTCTCAGTAATTGTTGAGATCACAAATTACACAATCCCAGCATGTACATACTTTAATGATAACTGTCATAGCTTAGATCATCATTTGTCAAAATAATAGTGTGAAGACCTGAGTACAAGTTTGTCTTGCTGCCTCTGTTCTCTTGGTGTGTAAAACATCCATGGAAACCACACCAAAAAACCCCCCAACAACAAAGAAAAAAAAGAACCCAACAAAAGCCATACCCTGTGAACCTGAGTTTCAGGTAAAATTTTGACAAATTGTCTGCTTTAGATTTCTTGGGGTTTAGGATTGAAAGCAGTGACTCCTCTTTATTGTGGATTATTAGTCAGGTCTCTGCATGCACATAAATGTTGATCTAATTTGTAGTAGAAAACAACTGTCTGCTTTTCCCTTTGGAGTGGATGAATACTTGGCAGATCTTGAGACCGGTTCGGGGACTCCTTTTTCATACATCACCAGGGTCCTGAGGTACTTCAGTTTGCACAATCTAGTCCTTGGTCTTCCCAGACTTACCTGCCATCTAAAGGTTTGAAATAATTCCTTAAAGCTTGAAACGCATAGGCAGTTGTTCTAATTACCTTTTCACTAGTCAGATAAATAGGATTAGTCCTTCTGTCACTATGAAGAGTTATTTTCTGCTGTGCGTTCAAAAAGAACAGTATGTCTATGTATCTGGTTCTGTAACATAGAATTGCTACAAGTAGAAGCTTTGGGATGCTCTGAATCATGTACTTCCTGGCAAACTCATCCTTGCTTATAGGGGGTTGGACTAGATGATCTCCTGAGGTCCCTTCCAACCCTTACGATTCTGTGATTCTGTGATTCTGTATACCAGAACTAGAGGAAAGGAATCCATATGAAGAAAACAAGCTATAAAGAAAACAACTTGAGAAACTAATGTTCTGTGGCTCAGAAAAAGGGCTAATATTACTTATGTTAAGGTACTATTTGTAGGCAAGAAGATTTCTTCTGGAAAAGCGAAATATGCATCAGTACAGCCATTTGGCCTCCTGCCTTGTATTCTTGTGTAGAGCTATATGTGAAACATCATTGGTATTTTTATTTTAAAATGTTACAATAATGGTCCTATAACTTTGGTATGGAATAGACTGGATTTAATTATGGGTAAGTAGCACACAACTTAAAAGCAAATTTTGTTGAGTAACTGGAATTTAATTATACTGTGGGTTGCTCAACCATACATAAAACACTTAGTTTTCCTCTTCTGTTTTTGATTGTTTTCTTAATATAGTAGTAAAGATAGAAGATACTTTAATTGTAATGTCTTGGCAAAGTCAGTTTACATGCTTCAATCCATACTCTGGTTTTTGTTTTTTTTAAAAGGCGTTAAACTGACACAGTTCCAGAATGTTAGTGACAGAGGTGCTGTTCTTAAGCAAGTGATCCTTATTCAGAAAATGAATAATTGCACTAGTATATTAGGACAACACACCTCCTCCTGTGCAACCTTAAAGGAGAAATACACTTCATATACACAGCATTTATCTAGGGAGAAAGCGGATATGGGTGTGGACTGGGGTATGTACTTTTCAATGTACTTTCGATATACTTTGGCCATGCTTTAGCAATAGAACAGTAAAGACTTATGTCCTCAACTTTCTTTTGGATACATCCATGTACGTCCTGTAACCCTGTGATAAAGTATGTATTTGCATCACTTTCTGTGCCTGAAACAAGGAAGACTTGAGTTGCTTCCAGCTACAAGGTCTTGCCTCTGCACTAGAAACTTCAGTGTCTCGTGTACTCTGCTTTTGCAGTCCCTTTTTCAGTTCCTCAGAAGAATACAAAGCTTAAATTCATCCAGAGTATCATCTACTAGCAGTGCAGTTTGAAGGTGGCTATCCTTGAATCATGGAGAGCAGACTTTATTAATAGCAAAGCTAAATTTGGAAAGATCCAAAAAGGCACTGGCAGAATGCTCAGAGAAGATGAACTTCCTACCGTTGCTGTCAGGACAAGCGAACCAACAGTGAAACTATTTCAATAAAATTTGTGCCTATTGTAGCTAAGGTAGTAAGGAAAAGTGTGTAGTTTTGTGGGGTGAGGGGAGAAACAAGTGGAGTGACCACTGCTCGTTTTAGGGTGGGTTGGTTCATCCATTTTAAATGAACAAATGTTATTTTATCTTGTGTTTTCCTGTGAAATCTAATTTTTCTGCTGTTTCTGGGCATGGTCACTAGGCCAGTGAGTCGAGGTTCTGTTATAGAACTAATAAACTGATTTGATTCCATGTGATTCATGGGAATGCAGCTGTGAAACCACTAACTGAAAAATCACGTATGATTGTTGAGCTTTCATAAAAGCTAATGGAATACATTCTGCCAAAAGTGTGAGTGTACCTTTATGTTGTTCCAGTTTTTGGGATAACTTGTTAGCACATCCAGATATCCAGGTTCTAAGTTAATAAATGCACAAAACCAAATGCAGAATTGAAACTTTTTATTACATTACTGGGATGGGTTGTTTTTTTTTTTTTTTTTTCCATCCCAGGGCTTGCTTTGAAGGTTATATGAAAGCTGTACAACACACCTGCTAATCAGCTTCCTAATAGTTAAATAAAACTGATTTCATATCTAATAAAAGCATGACTCTGGTGAGTGTTATGGTGAGAACTTGAGACTGATAGCGTGTATTCAACAACATTTCTATTAAGGAAAGCAAGCCTTTTGGAAATAATTTTTAAAAGTGAGGAGAAATCACATGGTAGATGCTAAGCCTTGCCCATCTAAGTAGAATTGCAACTGCTTACTGGTTTAAACTATTGCACTGGTATTTTTGAAGGTTAACTTCTTGGGAATGAAGTCTCAAGTGAAGCTGTAGCACACAGTAGTGCTTCCTTGAAAACCTCTAACTGAGCAGAACTTTCTCCATGGAGGGTTGATACAGCCAACAATGAGACAAGCAGCAGAGAAATGCCCAATTGTATTCTGAAGAAGTTTTGCCTCAGACTGTGCCTTTATACACATAAGAGTGCAAAAACCTAACCTCCATTGGTAGAAATGGTAAATACCTCTTTATGGGAATGTTAAATACATAGGTCTTCTAAAAAGAGGCCATGCTCAGAATTTTTTCTTAAGAATTCCTGATTATAGCTGAGCAGTCATAATGAATAATAATATGAAAGAATACAAATATATATAAACGGTCTTAGGGAGGCAGCAAATTTTGTATAGGCTAAGGTAGTGATGATACATCCAACTGGTGCTGTTGTCAAAATACTTTTTGTGCAAAGCAGCAAATTATTTTCAAACTTGGAATAAGATTGTGAACTCTACATAAGCAGTTTCCTGATTATCATCTTACTTAAAGAAGATCTTGCCAAGAACTCTAATGCATCTTGAAAAATGTGAGGAGCTAGAATGCTAGGATTATTACAGAGCACTCAGTATAAAAGCCTTCAATGATAAAACATTTGTCCAGGTTTATGACTCAGTTCCTACAATGTAGCCATGATTTAATACTGCAGTTTCACATTTTAATTGTGTTTAACAATAAGCTAGATAAGAACAGATTTTAGATGTTTGTTTTAGTCATCCTGTCCAGTTCCTTGTCTAGAGGCTAACATTTTGTATGTAACACAAAAAAGGATATGTGTTTGATCAAAGTGAGCCAGAACTGCTTTTATGAATCACGTAAGATTGAAGATTTTATGCTCCTAGAGGGGTAATGTGCAAGACTCATCTCTCTGACCAATAACTACTATTACTAAGCATATTTATGCACACTCCTGTTTTCTTTTGGAATGGAGGAGGCAGTCTTAAGAAATTTCAGTTGCTTTTTGGAGTTGCAAGAAGTAATGTTTGTCATTGGAATCAACAGATAGTCCTATTCCATAGCTGAGAGATCCAGAGTAGTTAGTGGATTCATATTACACTGAGGAGACTTCAGATCAAACACATAGAAAGATTCCTTTAAATAAAACAAGCAGAAACTAGACTTTCATTCATGTTTTTTTTTTTTTCTATCTTTAACTACATCTAGAATTCCCTTCAGTCACTTCTCCCTACATGTATAAGTCTTGTACTGCTCTTCTTTTTGATGATTATAAGCTTTGTAGGATTAAGAAAATGGAATTATGTTAATAACTGTCTGCATTTAACAGTGAATTTAAACTTTGACTGAACTGTGTATTATGCAACAGAGTTAAGTGCTTTTCTCACTTTGTTTCACATTCTCTTTTTAAAAGCCGTTTGAGGCAAGAAAGGATGCACGAGCAAATACTCTCTTATTAAAGATCTAGAGAGTAGCAATTGACGGATTTCTGTTGAGACACTGATATTAATCTATAATATCCATGTGTGCCAAGTCAAAAGATAACTAATTGTTTGAAATTGTTAAGGTTGGTAATTGGAAAATACTTTTCTAATACTAATAAACCAAATTTGAAGACTATTGTTCTGCTGTTCAAATAATTTTTCAGCAGTTTTTTGTTTTGCTTTCCAGAGATGAAACAACTTAAAAAAAATAGTCAGGATGTGTAGAGGTGGAAAAATACTGTCTGAACTTCCATATATGATAGTAGATGATCTTGTTTAACAAGAACAGCTGCTATATATGGCCAAATACACTATTGTACATCTGTGACTATAGTTTTCAAAAGCAGCTTTACCTTTGTGTCTTCCTCTTCATTTTTCCTCCCCAGAGGAAGAAGACAGACCTTACTGCAGTTAATGTAAATAACACTGTCCTTATTTGTGTTCTTTTAGTCATTTCCCTGTTTGTTAGTCATGTTCTTTATAGAGAAGAAAATACATTTTGATCGTCTTTTGGAGCTGGCTTGCTTAGAAATCTAAGCACTTTCACTTTAATTAGATAGGAATGTTGCAGGTTTTGCTAGGCTCTGCTTAAGATTTGGTGTTGGTTGTTTTTTTTTAAATGAAATAAATGCTACTCAGTGGGAAGCTGATGAGACAGTGGCCTTGAAAATTACTGCAGTATAAATACTAATTGCAGAGATTAATGTATTAGATTTTGGACCTGATACGTACTATGTATCAGTAAGTAACCTTACCTGCAGTAAGGTACCTACTGTTTTTAAAAGATGGAACTTCCCTTTCTAGATTTTTGTAAACTGTTATTTTTCTTACTCTATAGGAGTCAGCAGTACTAGGTGCTGTCAATCTGTTATTACCAGAGTATTTGCACCGTGACCTGTCTTGTAGAGAACAAACTATTAATTGTGACTTTCTTCTTCCTTTTGTATTTTGGAGGTGGTCTTCCTAAATCCCTTTCTTCTGTGTACCACCTCTTCCTCAACCCTTTGGAAAAGGAAAAGGTAAACTATTTGCCATTTGCAAGGTAAAGCCATTAGTGCCTCTGAAGCAGTATAGCTGCTCTGGTAATGGCAAATTGATTATATTGTATTGCTTGACTGAATCCTAATGGAGCTAGCTGATCGTGCTGTTTAGATTATAGTTTAGTTTAAGGAGTTTTCCAGTAAGTGCGTATCGAAATCTAAATGTAAGATTTCTCTTTATCCTAGGTGTTCATTTTAATATTTTAAATAAATTAAGCCTGTTAATAAACCGTCTTAAACTTTATAAATGTCTGGCAACTTACAGTGCTTTTGCAAATATTTAAAAATAACTCCCTTAGGAATAATCTCCAAAAGCAAAATCTGTATGTAATGAAGAAAAATGCTCTATTTTGTGGTTTTCATTGAAATATAAGTAGAAAAAAATCTCATATCTCTTGTCTAGTGAGTAAATGCATGTTTTAGCACTTAAATAATGTGGTTTCCTGGGGCTATATATATTTAATATGGCTATATTTCAGCTAGCTGTTATGGGAAGATAAAACACTTAAAATTTGGTTCAGTATGTAAATAATGCAGATTATATTTTCTTCTCTTCATGTGTTTTTTTTTATTCTAGCAGTTATTTAGCAGACTGTCTGTACACTACTGCAACACATACCTTATCTGTGTGTGGTATTGCTGTTTGCAGCATCATCTTCCACTTCCTTATATTGTTTTTGCACGCAATATGAGGGCTCTGATAAACTCTTGAACTATTCTAGTAAGTAGATGAGAGCTTAAGTGTCTGGGTAGTAAACATAGCTAAGCATGGGTTTAACTGACTTCTAGAAATCTAGGGCAAAACATCCTTTCAGAATTGTATGTAATGAGTAAAAAAGGTGTGCGTGGTTCAGTGTAATAGGTATGCATACTCTTAGGCAGTTAACTGTGTGCATACTGAAGTTTCTGTTCTTGTTTAAAGTTTGTAGATATCTTGGGGCTGCTTTTTAAGCAGCTGCTCTGTGTGTCAGCACAGTGTCTTCTGGGGTCTCTGAAAAATGAAAAAAAAAGATTGTAACTTTGATCCTGCAAAAGTTGTGCAATTTTATGTGGTCCAGTTGAAACAGATTTCCAAAAAAACCCCCAAATCTGTTGCTTTTGTTACCATATTTTATCAGAGGATGCATTGAGGTAGAAGTACGTATTCTACATCAACCTTTTTGAGATTTACAATATTATGGTCACATGAATTAATAGCTAAATTTTTCAGTATTTTTCTGGAATGTTCTTATTCTGATTTAGACAGAAATGTTTTTAACAAAAAAAGTTTCTAATGATGATTACATTTGTATTGTAATGCTGTCCTGTCATGATTAGGTGTCACGCTGTTTTTATTTTAAAATTTTACTCTTTAAACACTATTCAGGTATGTAAAATCTGAAATACATTGCCTGAAAATACTCTTCTTCTCTTTAAAGGATACCTTGATTGTCTGGTCTGAAGCTGAAAATTATGATTTGGCACTTAGCTTTCAAGAAAAAGCAGGGTGTGATGAAATATGGGAAAAAATATGTCAGGTAAGTTTGATAAATGTAAGATTGGGACAGCCTAAATCATCTTAATGTGTGTGTTCAAAATTTGTAGACCATTCTAAGAGGTGAATCTGAACACAGTAGGTAGAAAGGATAAGCTATTATCTTAGCCAACTCCCAAATTTTGCATTTTTGAGTTTGAAAACTTTCTCCTTCCTCCAGAAATTTGATATGAACTTAAACCATGTTTGGGGTTTTAAGAGCATTTTCAGGTCTTTTTGCTTAACATAAATTTTTAGCTCTATTATTGCCCAATGAAGTTTAGCTCAAAATGAGTGCTTAAAAAGTTTCATAATAATTAATTTCATACTTAACTTTTTCCAGGTTGGCCGGAAGGGGAAAAGTTATCTGTCCAAATTTTTGTTGTAGAGAGAAAAACGTATGTGGGCTCTTAGTGAATTTTATAATTTATTTCTCATGGATTTAACCATATCTTGTTCACATTTCTCTTCCTACATTTCTCATTCTTCTCCTTCTCTTATCTCATTCTTCCATTTCAGGTGAGGGGAGTACTGAGGTTCTCAACAGAACTTTCTTCCATGTAAATGTGACAGTATGCTTCTGTTGACTGTCAGGGTGTGAAAGATTGACCTGATAGTTGAAGTAGGAGATAGCTCTATTCCTGTATTATCACCTCAAAGCTATAGTTCTTACAGTTTAAAGAAATCAAACAATTTGTATGTAGCATGTATATATTTTAATACGTGCTAATTGAATCATTATGTTTTACCACTACAACTGGATGATTATGTAGTCACTGAATCAGTATTGTTCCTGGATGACATTTAGTCAGGTATTAACTATTGACGAATACCCAAAAGAGTTTAGTCAATGTATTCACTGATGTTAGTTCAACTTGTCAGTTCCTGTTTGGCTTTTTTCTTCCATTTCAAGCATTACAACTTTTCTTAATTTCTGTGCTACATTAGGTGGGATTCCTCCAAATTTGTTTAATTCTTGCTCTGTGCAGTGTCTCATTCTGTTCTTAACAAAGATCTAGCTCGCTCCACTCTGTCTTTTGCAGTCTCAATGATTTCAGAAATAAAGCAAAAGAAAACTGTTTTCATAATTACATGTGTATAGATCATTCCTTTTATTAGGAATGAGTCTTTTCAACAGTTTACCACTTAATGTAAACAAGTACAGAAACATATCCAGGAACCTTAGCAGTCAAAGGACCAAAAGTTGGGGACAGAAACAAAATGGGGGAAAGGGGAAATTGTATTCTTGGGAAACACTCAGATAAGAAGCCCAGCTTCCTCAGCCTCGTGTAAAGATCTAATATTTTTGTAAGAAACTAGTGACTTTACGTCCTGTTTTGAGGCCATGCTATTGTATTTGTGTCTAGTGTACTTTAAAGATCTTAAGCTTCCTCAGTCATTCAAGCTTCTTCTAAATGGAAGACTTCGATACTACGTATGCTGGAAGTGGTTGCTGATGTATAAACAGAACAGTATGTGGGCTTTACCAGCGTTCTGGATTTTAATCTAAGTATAAGCGTGCTGTTATCTGTGGAGAATTAGTTCTCTCAGATTTTTTTTTTGCTGATTTTCAATAATAAGAACAGTACCTTCTACACAGCCGTGCCTTTCTGGATTTGACACATCAGACTCCAAGCAGATATACAATTACGATGTCATTAAAGCATCTGTGTCTGTTTTTTTCACTAATTTGTACTTGCTGCAGTTCCCTCATTGTATCTCTAGAGAGATCTGTGCAGGTCTTGTGGCTTGTTTTTCTGACAGCTCCAGATTTCCACTGCTCTTTTGTTAATATTGGTTTGGGGTTTTCTGTTCTTACAAGGGGATTCTGTGCCTCTGTTGAGTATTTAGAAAGTGCGTGGTAATGGATTTTCACTTGCAGCTCTCCAGAACGGAAAACAGCAATTAAATTAACAAGACTGACCTCTTTCCTCTGTTTGAGGTAGCAGAAGCTTTGAAAAGCATCAAGAGCAGCTAAATAGCCTATAGATAAATGTTTAAAGCTATCACTGCAGTAATGTAATACTGGTTTTCATTTGAAAATCTGTCTGCAGAGAATAAAGACTGGAAACAAATAACTTAGTTCAGTAGTCTATTAAAAAGTTGCCATCCATACTAGTAATTATGGATTTCCTTTTTTATTTGAAGTACTCAGAAAATGGAGCTTTTTTCTTTATTCTTCCTCCTTTTTATAGAAAATGAATAGAACTAAATGCCTAATGTAGAAATAATTTTGTAAAGTCTTCTGTTTAAAGAAATCTTTTCATTATGTCTTACTTTCCAAACCAGCAGTACCCAATGTCAAACTTACATTTGCTCTTCTATTTTGGCTGTACAAAGAAATAGTGTGAGACATCTGAAATGGTATTTTTAAAAAAGCATTCAAGTAGCCGTAAACATTAAATTCCATGGTTTTGAATGCATCTTATTTTGTAGGTTCAAGGCAAAGACCCTTCTGTCGATATTACTCAGGACCTTGTCGATGAATCTGAGGAAGAACGTTTTGATGATATGTCATCACCAGGTCTGGAATTGCCATCTTGTGAATTAAGTCGACTAGAAGAAATTGCAGAACTTGTGGCATCTTCACTGCCTTCACCGTTACGTCGTGAAAAACTCGCGCTAGCACTGGAAAATGAGGGCTATATTAAGAAGCTCTTAGAAATTTTTCATGTGTGCGAAGACTTGGAGAACGTTGAAGGACTACACCACTTATATGAAATTATCAAGGGAATTTTCCTTTTGAACAGAACTGCACTTTTTGAAGTCATGTTTTCTGAGGAATGTATAATGGACGTAATTGGATGCCTAGAATATGATCCATCTTTATCACAGTCACGGAAACACAGGGAATTTCTGACTAAAACAGCAAAATTTAAAGAGGTGATTCCTATATCTGATCCAGAGCTGAAGCAAAAAATACATCAGACATACAGAGTACAGTATATTCAAGATATGGTCCTACCCACTCCCTCAGTTTTTGAGGAAAATATGCTATCAACACTTCATTCTTTCATCTTTTTTAATAAAGTGGAAATAGTTGGTATGTTACAGGTAAGTTTCAGATTTCCAGAATCTCTTTATTTGCACTTCGGCAGAGAAAGTTGGATATTTTTTCTTGGAAAGATGGGGGTGCTTCAGTAGAACCATCACTTCTGTGATTCTGAAAGTCATTTTGAAGTTATGACATAAAAGGCATGGATTTGAGTGCGGGGCTGGTAAATACATGTTCTTAATTTCAGATTTTGGACTAGTTCCTCTGTAACTGATTTTAAATGAAGTAAGCTTACGTAGAAGTCTGAATGAGGTTGTTTGGAATGAACAGTACTGTTTGTATTTTGAAAGGTTGATTTTGTTAGGGAGTTTTCTGTGTTTTGGGACTTTACAGTTAAGGATAATTTTTGTCATGTTACCATGACAAAAAAGAAAATCAAATTACTTCACCTAAATTTCACAAATATAATCTCATACCAGGATATAACTGTTTCTAATTTTGAAATAAATTAAATTAGTTGTTTGGCAAGTACAGGTTCAGAACATAACATTGCCTTAGGTGCTTGAGCGTATTTTTAGTTTGTCTTATAAGTCCCTAAATAATACTGTTTGAAATTACCAGGTTTTTGTGACATATGTCTTACTGCAAATGTAAAGAGATTATATGATGCTTTAGATGTCTTACCTACGTGTCTTCAGTATTCTGCACCAACCCATGAACTTCCTGAACTTTGTAGAAATAAGTGGCACATCTCTGTAATGGGAGCTTACTAAAGCTTTCAGCTAACTCAGTGAAGTGTTCACAGCACCATGTATTTTGGTTTGTAGAGGTTAATTATCGTTCTCTTAATTCTCCTAGCATTTAATAAATGAATAGCCACTGACTTTATAGGGGCTGTCTGATCTGGAGAAATGGACAAAGTGCTAGATACTACTGATTAACTTAATCATATTTATCTTCTGTTGAATCTCAGAATGCACCCTGTTTAATTTCATGGAAAATACAGCAAAGGAGAGCGAAAATTCCTTTTGCAAGCTCATATGGCAAATCTAGGCATCCTGCCTTTTCATCCACCACACTCAGTTGATCAGAATACTGATATTATTTAATCCACTCTTTTGGAGCTTTAATCTGTCATGTCTACACATGGGGTATTTGATAAGCAGCCAGATGTGTAAGACGACATTCAGTCTGGCAGCTGAGGCATGTGCCTCGCTTACTGGAGACAGATCATTGCTTACTGGAGCAGCCACCAGAGGCCTGGTGGAACACATGGGGCATCTTCAGTAGTACTAGACTCCAGCTTATGCTCAGCTGAACGAAACTCTTTATGTGTGTCCTCGATAAACAAAGTCACGAGTGTGTATCTGAAATGGTCAGAAGGCCTTAACCATTTTGGAGTGGCCAGTTTGAGAAAGCTTACACGCCTGACTTTGAGAGAGTGCTGAAAAAGATGCAGTTAAGGGGTCTCAACTTGAGTGTCCAGTATGACTTGTGTCTCTAATGACCTCTTAGCAAGGGTTGGTAAAAGCGAAGTCCTGAGGATGATACATTTTGGCTTGAGGAGTGGGAGGGGCAGAATTATTCAGGAGTCTTTGTGTCAATGGCTGGTTCTGAGAGGGGTCTTGAACTTTGAAAAGGAAACTGGGCAAGAAGCAAGGGAATGTGATCCTCCAAAATCATTAAGGGCGTGCTTGCCAGAAATCCTGAGGTAACTTGATTGTGGACTAGTGTGTGATTAGTTTCCTTTTTTCTGTGTTGTGAAACTTGTTAGTTGCAGTTTACAGTTGAAATAGAGGCTCAGATATGACTTTGATTTGTTGTGCGACCACAGGTTTCTGAACCTTATCTTCACTTCTGTTACTGTTGTCTATGGCTGAGAATAAAGCATACTCCCTGTGAGGTGGAGCCAGAAGAATTAGCATTGCGTAACTTTCAAGGTTTGATAAATATTTCAAATTGTTCAAGTGCTTCCTACAGCTTTGAAGAGCCAAGAGTGGTAGCATGCAAGGCAGAAGATATATCCTGTGCTATATTGCATTTTCTAGTCCTTTCACAGTACAGCTCTATAGCATTGAAGGGGAGCTCCCTGAGTTTATAAATAAGAATGTTGGGCATTATTTGACATTGATGATCAGTTCTTGGTTTTGAGGGAATTAAAATAGGCTATCACAAATTATATGCCCATTGTGTTTCTAAGAGATTAAAAGGTTTGATTGACTGATTGATTTTTCACGTTTTCACAGTGTAGCTCTAAACCAAGGTTTAAACCTATTTACCTGGCATTTATTTAATCATTTATTTATAGAGCAATATGTCAGGTTGCGCTTTTTCTGTAATCTTTGCCCCCTAAAGTTTCATTCTCCCCTTTCTTTTCTCCATCTCCCCATTCCCACAGTCCATGTATAAAATCTATGATACTGTTCCTTCTCATTTCTTTAAGCAGAATAAATAATGTTCTGAGAACAAAATTAAGAGACTGCTTTTGTGGATTTCACCTCTGTAACTAATTCTTAAGGTTTTTCTTCCATTAGGGTGTGGTTTAATATGCATTTCTGCAGCTGGTTATATGACAGTACTTGGGGGGGGTGTGTGTGTGTGTGTTACTTCATGAAAGATTGTCTGTAATTCTTTCAGATCTTAAAGAGATCCTGGTGCTCACTAACCTTATGTGTGCAGTTAAGAAGCTGTTTCTTTGTAAGTCATTATTAATTGAAGAGTTTCTGGTGTGCTTCAGTTTATTGGGAGCCATGTGTGAGTCTCAAGTTCTTAGTTGATGCGTAATACAGGTTGTTATGCTGTTGACTTTAGGTTGACTCTCCTGATCCATTGAGGGTGTGACAGAAGAGCTATCTTTTTAGGAAATTTTTTCTGAGATGAAAGGTAGACTCCCTGAGCAGCTGGCATCCTGTGACATACTGCAACTATTGTGTGTACAACTGAGTTGTTTTATATTCTGTTCTTTTCTCTCACTGGCTGTGCAGGAAAGGAGATGTTACTCCATCTTACTTCGTTACTTCCACCATGAATAAAAAGATGAGCTCTCAAGAGCCCTTTTCACGTCAGGCTGTTTATTAACTAAAGTGGCACTTTGCAATGCCCTCATCTCAGATTAACTCAGCTACACCTTAGTTACAGAAAAGTAACTAGAAATTTCTACAAGACTCTGCAGGTTGTGCCTTATGCTTGTGACAGGCTGGGTGACTTTACTCAAAATTGCCACTGTATCTTATTTAAGGTATTTGGTGTCAAAATAGCACATTTAAGGTCACTAAAGGTCACTGACATTTAAGGTCAGTTTTTCCAACTATAACCAGTGAATTCTGTAAATAAGAATATGCTGATTCTTCAGAATTCTGGGTTTATTAGGAGAGATTTTGGATGTCTTTAAAAAAAAATAAATTCTGTAGTCATGGAAGATACCTGCTTCCATGATTTTGATTTCTTTGGTAGGTAAATAACTTTTGCCTGTTCCGTGGTAAAACTAAAACCAGAGAATGGGTCACCTTTGGCACTTAGAGTTATGAACTGTATTCCTCCCTCCTTCTTCATTAAGGTTAGCTTTCCCATAATCTTTATAAAAATGCTTACACTGATGGGCTTTTCTGAGAAATGTAGGTTAGTTTATTTGTGTTTTAATTGTCTAAGATCTGTCGTTTTAAGTAACTATGTTGAGATATCACTAAACTAGATACTGTTGGTCATGATGGTAAACCCATGATACCAGTATTTCTAGTCTACAGAGTTAACTGCTGTGGAAACCTACTCAACTACAGGTTTTATGATTCGCTGTACATAAGATACGAAAGAGGTATATAACATTTTTTTCCAATTTCAGCCCCTCCTAATATGCTCTTACTGCTTGGGCTCCAGCCTGTTCTAGTCTTGAGATGTCATAGCTACCAAGAAACCTTGCTGAAACATGGAGTTCGCCAAGTTTTGAGAGTGGGGGTGGGACAGGTAAGTGGTGTTTCTTACTTTATATGACGCTCTTTTGCAATTTTAAAAATATATACTAATGTTCACACTGGAGGCCACCAGTTCTTTCCCTTTGTATTATTAACTAGTTCTTAAAAACCAAAAAACTTGCAAAACTGCGCCATAGAGTGAGCAAACACTGTTTCCTCCTGTTCTCTCCCCCCTTTCTTGTTGGTGTGTTCTTTTTGCCAGCAAGATCCCATGGTGATTTTATCTTCCAGAATACAGAATATTGTTAGGATTACTTTCAGGCATGTGCCTTTAGACTTCAGAGTCTTTTATTTTCAGGAAAGTGGAGAATGGAAGGGGAAAATCTGATACATGTTAAAATAATTTATGTGCCTAGTAGAGCAGTGATCACATGGCATTACTGTACTGGTAAATAATCTTCTTTAAATACAGAAACGGTATTACCAATAGTCCTTATCCCCTTTTTCAACAACTAAAAAATTACAGGCATTTAGGTATATCTGTATGTTTTACTGGATTTATATATAACAATAGACTGGTTTTAATTTTGAAAGTGGTTTTACAGGTAGTTACTTATTCTTAACCCTGTGGATGTAAATGTAATTATCTGTAGTTGTTTTAGAGGAAGAATTGTGTCAGTGCGTATTGGTAGTTTTGCCCAAACCTGTTAGGATTGGAATGTCTCCTGCTGGTCTGCAGTAGCTGGCTCAGGAATAACTATGGAGGTCTACTTTCAGCAAAATTTACCTTCACTATAGTGTAAAAGGATGCCACTTTCTGGGGGAGATGACTTAGTGAAAGAAATTTGTAAGTAGTGCATGCTAATGGTTTCTGAGATTAACTTTTCCAGTGTAGAAAATGATTTTCAGTGTGTACAGAAACTCTAAATGTGCTCAGGTGGATCCCGCTGCTGTTTCAGCGTGTTGTCTCTAGTGGAAATAGCTTATTGATAGCAATGAAGGCATGTGTGGGAAGGCAGTCTGAGATAAAGGAGATTGAAATGTTTTAAACTATGAAATCTTCTGGTGTGGTAGCAGGAAGGAATGTATGTTTGAAGCTGTAATTCCCTGCTGGTAAAATGTTATGAAACTTTCACTTTCTGGGCTGAAATATTACGCCTGCCTAAAATGAATAGGAAGGTGGAAGATAGGATGGAAAGTATACTCTTCCCACCTTAGGAGTCTGTGAGTTTCTTGGATTTTTTTTTGAGAAAGGGATGTTTTTTGTCATTTATCTGTAATCACAGACATGAAGCATCTGATAACTGGAAGTTAATTATATTTAAGAGAGGCCTGCTTTTGAGGAGTGCTTTTTTAAGTGCCTTTTGGAAGGAGGAGGGCTGCTTTGAAAGTTGAATCGCAAATTATGTAAATAGTGTCTTTTTTTGTGATCCTACTTTGTCCGTGGGTTTTCTTGTTTTTCAAGTCATGAATGACTGAGTGCATAGATAGCCTGGTTTAATTTTATCTTCATGAACTTTGAAAGGTATCAAATCCTAGGAGCACCTGCTTAGATCTTGCAAAGGCATAAATAAGTATATGTAGGTTTTGGTATATGCATAGTCTACGTATTGCACATTTAATAATTTCTGTGCATGGAGAAAATAGCTAGATTCTACAGTTACCCTGTAAATTATTGTTTGCTGTTTTGTTTTCTTGGAAAACAGTTGTGACCTTCACAGCTTCTAAGAAATATACAAATGGGATTTGAAACTTGTCTGCATGAAGAGGCCAGATACAAAAAATTACGCATTTGCACTGTGTTCGCTTCACAGACGTATTTGGGGGGATTTTTGCAAGTTGGAAAAAAAACAGAAAACATTTAAGCTTGTGTAATTCTAGCATTCAGTGTTGGTGCTTTGTGGCTTCTAAAATATGTGAACTCTGCTCTTCAACTGTACATTTCCGTAAATTCTGGTAGTGTTGTTCAGGAATCTATCTTTAGATATGCTGCCCTTGTCAGTAATTTTACAGCTTGAGAGAGAATCTTGTATTTAGAATGTTCACTGCAATCACAATTTTTCTATAAATGTAGAGAGGGTTGGGGGTTTTCCCATCAGTAACAACCTGTCTACCTTTCATTAAGGATCTGGAATGAGACAGCACCTAAATGCAGTTATGTCTTAGCCCTGAAATGGAAAGTTAGTAATAAATTGGTTTTATTTTCTTGGAACAGCTGCCATTTACTGCATATTATCCATGTAAGGGTGGGATGTTTCATATTGCTCAGATCCATCTTAATTTGTCTGATTTTAAATAAATCACGGTTGTTCTGAGGCCTAGAGATTTCAGATTATCCTGTTAATTTAAAAATACAACATATTTAGTGGAGTTTGGGAGAGGAGATGGTGTGGGAAATGCTTCAATATTATGTTTAATACCGAATTTTGAAATACTGTATTGTAGTATATATGTGGAGGGTTGAAAAATGGTTACATACTGAACTGCAGATTCTTTCTGAACCTTTGTCAGCATTGAAGTCTTCATCACTTCCCACTGTTAGGAAGTCCCATCTACAAGTCCCAAACGTTTGCAAGCCCAGAAACAGGGCTCCAACAGCCTCTGCTGTCGATGGTCACATCTTGAAGCGGGCAGGGCAGTGGCAGGATCTGCCCGGGGCGCTGAGCTAGAGTCCTGCCTGGCAAGGCCCTGCCCGCCCTGCTCTGCCGAGTGGTGCTGGAGGTGCAGCTCCCCTGCTACCTCTGCCTCTGGGGCTCTGCAGTGGGTTGTAAATGAGACCCATGTGACACCGGCAGCGCAGGGTCTCCGCCTTTCATTACACATTTTGACTTAAAACCATAATTTGATACTTTGGGTAATATTGTGTACCTTCTTTTCTGCAGAAACACACTATTCATGGCTCTAACATATCTAAATGCTGAAATTTCCAGTATTTTTTTTTCCAGTGATCATTCTGAGATATTTCTGTGGTATTGACTTGCACTTACTGTCAGGTATTATGAAGGAGGTGAAAAGTTCATTTCACAGTAAGAATGGAAATAGGGATTATACTCTCCAGTTGGGGATACGCATGCATCTTCTCAAAAGTTTTGATAGAGGAGATCAGTTTTACATCTTCATCAAAATAGCAAAAAGAGAAATGAAAGCAAACTACTTAGCCTTTTCTTAAATGGGCTGCTAATTGTGGAGAGTAACTTGCATGTTCTTCAAAAGAACTGGGTTTTATGGTTTTGGTAGGGTTTTTTTTGTTTTATTTCAATAAACAAGTATGTCAGTATCTCTTCTGTGGGTTAGTTATGTTACCTGTGATGTCTAACGAGTTAAATACTAGAACAGAAAATGTACCAAGCCATATAACAGCTGGATAGCAGGTAGACAACATCCTTGTGTTCTTTCACCACAGCTTAAGTTATGTTTCTTGCAATCAAAGACCTTAATAGTTTTTTTGAACGTGTTTGTTGAAATCTGAAAGTCAAACTTTACATTTCCAGTGCTTGATCCTCTATGGTGAATTTCAGTGAACTTCAAACCAGGCCTCTCCTCTCTCTTTTTGTTTTGACTTTGAAGCAGTCACGGAAATAGCACCTGAAACTGTCCAGAAATCATGCTTTGTTCAATATCACTAGAGTGTTGGGTCAGGTGAGAAGCACGGCACAGCATCAAACAAGAGGAAATGTGTGGTGTATCCTAAACACAGGGTTTACCTTACAGTGTGGTGAAATGCCTTGTAGGGTAGTAGCTCGTGCCAACCTATTTTGGGTTTATCTATGTTGTGCGGTGCCATGTAGAGATCCCGGATTGGGTTGTGGCAGTGTTATAGCTGCATTAGCATGGTGTGCTATTGGAACTGAGGTACTCATTTTCTCAGCAAGGCTGCAACGTGAGCCTGGGTGAGGTACGTAGATAATTTGCAATACAAGAAAGTTTATGGGGATATATCTGAAGTACTTTAATGGTTCTGCCTTGTGCTGTGTAAACATAAACGAGGCAACTTGGATTTTCTAGCACTGTGGTTTTGGGTTGGAGGGATATTGTACGGGGTGTTACTGACTTCACAAGAAACAACACTAGCAGCTTTTTGAAAAAATCTGTTTGTATCTGATGTACAGGTATCTTTTTCAAACGAATGCTGCCTTATTACTGTATAATATTGCTGGTAGGTTTATTTCTGTTTTAATAATCGGCTAATTGTTAGGACTGTAAAGGTTATGGGAAGCTAAGTATTGCTGCTTCTTTCAGCCTAAATACACATTTGTAATGTGTTGGCTGCTTTTCATAAGGTTGCTAAGGTACAGCAGCATGAAAAATAACGGAATGGTTTTTCATTGTTGCTAGCCAGAATGCCCAATAAATGCTGTACGTAATAGGAACAGTTATTTTAATTTGGTTTCTAGAATTCACCCTTTTTACAACAGTGGGGGGAAAGAATCTTGTTTGTCATGTCTTTGCTTTAGTTCTGCCGCAAAGGTCTCATAACATTCCAAAGATACAGGTGTGTGTAGGGTTGAGTGGGAGATCATGTTTATCAAAATATGTAGACAGGTGAAGCAGGGGTATTGGAGTGTGGTTTAGGGGGATGGGCACGTGACAAGGGGAAGGAAGTTAGAGAAGAAGTCATAGACAAAATGGTGAGAATGGCACTAGAAAATAGAAGAAGGACAGCCAAAAGGCAATACAAGATACATCATAACAGAATGAAGTGTTGGGGGATGGGGTGGTGTTGAACATGATAAAAGCTCAAAACCAAGATTCATGCTAATTTGTTTGAAAAATGAATTAGAAAGTTGATACTGGTATGATTAACTACAGTACATAAGCGTATGTTCTCTTAATTGCAGGAGGCATGGTTTAGAAGAACTTTATATTACACTTGGATGCCTTTTGATATTGTCAAATAAACAAATGGTATTATTTTGCCTTTGTAGGAAGATGAAAAATTTCTGACAGACTTGTTTGCACAACTAACAGATGAAGCCACAGATGAGGAGAAAAGACAGGAATTGGTAAGAAATCTGTAAAACATGCATGAAAGGGACAGTTACTACCAAGTGATACGTGCATCGCTTTTTAATTACTAACTAGTATATTATTCCTGTTTTTCAGGTGAATTTTCTGAAAGAGTTTTGTGCATTCTCTCAAACACTGCAACCTCAAAACAGAGACGCATTTTTCAAAACCCTGTCAAATATGGGCATACTGCCAGCACTAGAAGTCATATTAGTAAGTCAGCTCAATTTTATTTGTGATAACAATTTTGTTTATTTCCAGAGAGGGTTTTTTTAAAAAATAAGTATGCCAGACTTCAGTCACATGGGTTTCTGAAGTGGTCACTTCATTTGTCTTCTCTTAGCTTGAGATTCAGAACATTTAAAAGAGTTTTGTAAAACTTTAAAAGCAGTTACAATGTAACATTGGTAAGTGCCCTGGCATTCTTATATTTTTGTTTTCTCATTCGCTTTCCTATCTTTACATGCTTCTTCATGAACAATTAAGTAAGAAAATACAGAAATAGACCAAAGGGCAGGGAAACCATAACATTTATTTTGCCCAACAGTAGTCAAATGTACAAAGAAGAGGTTAGAGTCAATTCAGTTTTAGAATACGATTTAAGTAATAGTTAGGTATGACTTGTGAGTAGGAATTAAAGTCTACATGCTTTTTCTTTTTATTCCATTTAAGCCTTTTCTATTAAAGAAATATAAATTATTTTATTTGACTTTTCCAGGGTATGGATGATGCACAAGTACGAAGTGCAGCCACTGATATATTCTCATATTTGGTTGAATACAACCCGTCCATGGTACGAGAGTTTGTCATGCAGGAAGCACAGCAGAATGATGATGTAAGTAGAGGGTCCCCAGAAATGTGTGTATTGTTTTTTGAAATTACTGTTTTATATTTACAACTCTATTAATGACATGAGCCTGTTGTAGTTTAACCCCGCAGGCAGCTGAACACCACACAGCCGCTTGCTCACTCCCCCACGCCCAGCGGGCTGGGAAAGAGAATCAGAAAAAAAAAAGTAAAACTCATGGGTTGAGATAAAGACAGTTTAAGAAAACAGCAAAACAGCAGAGGAAAATAATAATAATAATAGTAATAATAATAACAACAAGAACAATAATATAATATACATAATAATAGTAGTAGTAATAATAATGATAAAAGGATATACAAAACAAGTGACGCACAATGCAGTTGCTCACCACCTACTGACCGATGCCAAGCCCATCCCTGAGCAGCAGTCACTGCCCCCTGGCCAACTCCCCCCAGTTTATACACTGAGCATGATGTCATATGGTACGGAATATACCCCTTTGGGCAGTTGGGGTCAGCTGTCCTGGCTGTGCCCCTTCCCAGCTTCTTGTGCACCTGGCAGAGCAGGTGAAGCTGAAAAGTCCTTGACTGGTGAAAGCACTACTTAGCAACAACTAAAATATCAGTGTGTTATCAACATTCTTCTCATACTTAATCCAAAACACAGCACTGTGCCAGCTGCTAGGAAGAAAATTAACCCTATCCCAGCCAAAACTAGGTCAGGATTCCTAAATGTAAATATTATTTTCTACTTTTATGTGTTATTCTTGTTTACTGCAAATACATATTTGGGTTATTTTTAGGTGAAAATAATTTCGTCAAGTTCAATAGCATTACAAAATTTACTGTTACGTGTTTGTAGAAATAAAACTCTTGATACATATTCTAAAGGGGGATACAAATTAAAACTTCTGTACTCTGAAAATGCTTCCAGAAATTAGTTGAATTTTGAGACTGTTAAGTATCTGTTAAGTATCTTTTTATCTTTTGGCATTGCAGTTCAGACTAAATTCTAAATTAGGCTGTTAATTTCAGAACTGTTTTTAGTTGCTTTGAAAGATTCTTCTTCACTGCTTGCCTTCTTACTCTTGAACCACTGACCAGAATGTGTCACTGGCATGTAAAGTTAATTTGTTTCTGTTAAGTTTGGGTTTTTTTTGTTTGGCAGTTGTTTACATTTTACAAAATGTTGATAGAACACCATTTTTAACCAGGTGGTAACTCTTTTAGAAGATAATTTCAGATTTGGGGCAAGAGAGTAGCATTAAAATTGATTTTTTGCCTTTTTTTTTTCCCCCCACATTAGGATATATTACTCATTAACCTCATTATAGAACACATGATTTGTGACACAGATCCAGAACTTGGAGGGGCAGTGCTACTCATGGGTTTGCTTCGTACTTTAGTTGATCCAGAAAATATGCTTGCCACTGCCAATGTAAGTAAATACGAAAAAATGAAATTACAGTTGGTTTTTGTAGAGTATTAGGTGATATGTTGCATATATAATTTTTTTTTATTATATTCTTTAGAAAACGGAAAAGACAGAGTTCTTGGGTTTCTTCTACAAACATTGTATGCATGTTCTGACAGCCCCTTTATTGGCCAATACTACAGAGGACAAGCCTAGCAAAGGTAATGCCACTCTGGATGTTGGGCTCATCAAGTCTGTTGAATGTCGATGTTTAAAACAGAGTGACTATCAAAGGATGTTTTCTGTCTTAAGGAGAATCTGAGACTGTGATACATAGTTTGAAGTAAAATGTTGATTCATGATTTAGTCATTTGAATAATTTGTAAGTATAAAATTCAGCAAAGAGATCTGATTTAAGAAGTGAAAAGCACTTGCTGGAGCTTTTGCTTCAGCAGAAATTAAAATATTTGTAATTTTTAGTAACTCATGGAGCTGTTCAGTGACATAGCTGTGAAAACATATGTAAATGTTTTTCAAGGTCACGGATTACTAGAGAGGATGCAAAATTGCCCATGGGAAGGTGTGTATCACAATATTGTGCTGAATTTGAGGGTATTAGTTCTAAATCAGACCAAGAAAGCAGAGATCAGTGATGAAGTAACTGTTCTTGCTGGCTACTAGCAGCAGTACCATTTGTTTATTGATATTATAACACATCCAAAATTGATGTAAAAGGAGGTACTTAAATAATAGATAAATGTTCTGTAAACTTTGGAATTTATTATGTAGATTTCCAAGGGATTAGTTAAATTAATCTGTTTTATCTCAGCTGGCTTCCAGATAGCTTGGAAGTGAGATTTTTACTATTTAAAATACTTGTGTTCTTCAATGGTCAACAATCTGGCAGTATTTTTAAAAAGATAGCATTACATTTTTAAAAAGATTAAATCTAACGTGTATTTAATTTATTAATTGTCTACTTAAAAGCAGGATTTGAGTTACTTTTTTGTATATGCTGATATGATTATGTCTTAGAAGTGTTTAAAGAGCCTGAGATACTTCTTGCATAGTACTTTTGACAAAAAGCATAATAGATCACAGTTTTGGTACAAACTTAGTCGAGGTACTGTGTATAGGGCAGTATTTCATGGTATAGGCCTGTGGACATCATAATGAGCTTTGGTTAAATATGCCTGACTGCTTACGTTAGTGATAAGTTCTGTACTCTCTGAACCTAAAACCACTGATCTAAGACAAAATGTAATTGTTTCTATAGTCTGAGTTTCCTGCCATATCCATATAAATAGAAAATATTCAGCCCATAACAGGCTTGTTCAATTTCTATTTTAAAGACTAAACATACCCTCCAGCATGTTCTCTAAACTATCTGTGGGAATATACAAGAACTTGGGAAGTTTACCAGGCTGCAGTTGGGTATTTGAAGTTAGCTTCTGAAGGCAGTATCCTAGATGTGTTTAATTATTTTGGTTTTGGTTTTGTTACAGATGATTTTCAGACAGCCCAACTCTTGGCATTAATACTGGAATTGCTAACTTTCTGCGTAGAACATCATACTTACCACATAAAGAACTACATCATTAACAAAGATATCCTGCGAAGGGTACTCGTTCTCATGGCCTCAAAGCACGCTTTCTTGGCATTGTGTAAGTCTGAAAGCTAAAGAATAAATGGCTATTTTGTGAATGTGAAGTGTTACATATCTTCATTCTGCTGGAAGAAAACTGTTCACAGATCATGGCCATCTGTGACTGCATACAGAAATTCTACTGTTGTACTCTGTGTTTCTCATACCGATTTATAGATAAGTCAGCTAGTATTAGTAAATAATTGTGCATTTATAGATGTCTTTTTTCCTAAAAAGCAGGAGGGTTTTTCTTAATCTCAATGCAGAGGTGAATTGAAGAGATGGCATCTCAATATTGAATATACTAAGTTTTCATTTTTTTTTTTAGTAGAAATTATCAGAGGTATTTAATTAGAGGCGTGGTTATCTGACTGCATTAAACAGCACGGAAGTTCAGTGTGCTGCTCTTCAAACTCTGGTAGTTTCTTGACCGTGCTCAGCACAGTAATAGCAAAGCAGTGTGACTTAATTCTGGAGACAAGTAAGAGAATTTTTCCACAATTCTGTTATGCATGTAGAGTAAAACAAAGCCTAAAGTTGAGCAGTACCATACAATAAGAACTACCTTCTAAATTTGTAACTGAATCACCTGAGTTTGGTATTAGAACCCTTGAATAATCCTTTTTCATGTACACCTAGTTGCTAACCAAAAAGTGCTGCCTTATAGTGAGATGATACTCTACCTTCAGTTTATGCATGGGCATTCACATGCTTGTGTATGCTTTGGAGTTTTAGAAAGAGCTTTACACTGAATGTAAATTAAGTCTTTGCTTTACTATGTGTGTGAAGAAAATGTCATTTACCAATTTTAAAATAAGATCATTTGCATCCTAATCAAATAGGACTTAATTAAATGTCATCAAACTTACATTTGAATAATAAGAACAATAAGCAAATTTCCCAGTTCTAATGAGAAAATATTTTACTTTTATCGTTAAGTAATTGAAAAAATCAAAAGTACACCATTAAGTTAATAGTAATGTAGTTAAACAGTAGTATATTATTTCTTCAGTGAACAGAGGTGGTTCACTTGTACAGTTATAATGGAGGATATGTATCCAGTATAGTCAAGACTGTTGAGAAGCAGTGAATAGCTGAATGTATTACCTGGTCCTAATAATGTAATGCTGCCTAAGAACTAGATTGCAAATTGCCTTAACTAACGCTGACTAATTTCTGGATTTTTTATTTTAAATGTAAAAATTTAAAAATTCTTTTGACAACACTTCTGTTTCAGGTGCCCTTCGTTTCAAAAGAAAGATAATTGGACTAAAGGATGAATTCTATAACCGTTACATAATGAAAAGCTTTTTGTTTGAACCTGTGGTCAAAGCATTTCTGAATAATGGTTCCCGTTATAATCTGATGAACTCTGCCATAATAGAGATGTTTGAATTTATCAGAGTGGTGAGTGCTGTTATATGCTGAAGATAATTACTGTATTATTTAATTTTGTAGTTCAAGAAGAGTTTTCTTTTTGCTTGCACCCTATATTATGCTATCATAGTGATATGACCATATGTTACTGTATTTAAATGACCTTTCTTTTGTATCAGTTACATATTTGTACGTGTTCATGTTATATTTCTTATGTTCAAACAGTACCATGACTTGAAAATTAAGTTCACTTGATACTTGGTGTACTCACAGTACCCAGTTTTTGCAAAGGCAGCCCTAATCAAGTTTCATCGTGCAGATTGGATGGGCCTGTTACGACAGGAATGTCATTTGAAACTGCTGCTACAAACCCATCAAATTTAGTCGTGCTCTGTAATGTCAATTCAACAGAATATAGAAACACAGAAGAGATAGCAAGTCTCTTTTTATTATCTTAATGGAGTGCTATAAGGTCCCTTCCGTGGGGAATCTCTTAAAATATTCATGCCAGTCTGGCTGTCTGCACAGTACTGTTTCCTCACTGTTGTCCGCATCCAGATTCTGACAAGATGCTGTACAGACTGTAAATGTGGTTAAGTGGGGCCAAGCTAGGGTGCAAGACAGTTGTGGAGGAGTGGGTGGGTGAGGAAAAAAGGAGGCTTTGTCACCTCTTGAAATCTTCTGTGCTGATAACCTCCTTCCTCTTTGAGTTGGGACTCAGGGTAATTCAAGACTGAGATGACTTGATCATTGCGGGAGAGTTCATTTAAAAATGGTTTTGAAGCTATGAAAAAAGTTAATCTATATAGGCAGCCCTGGCTTTTGTGCTGTGGTCTTTCAGTACTACATGGGATTATGTGCTGATTGTACAGTTCATTCTAGGGGGAAATAAATAATCTTTTTATTTTCTTATCCTCCTTTTCTCATAAATACCCAGGTTGCATTTCCAGAATAGTTCTTGGTATCTGGAAATACTTTTTGTCAATTTTATTTCATTCCATTCAGGTTTATTCTTAAAGAGCTTGAATAAAAAAAAGTGGGCTTTTGTTATTACTGATGTATTACCATTCGTAAGAGGTGACCTTTGAGCATATAACCAAAAAAGAAAATAACCACTGTATTAATATTGATGTCACTTTGCTTGTCCTTAGTAGACTGTAATTCAGGTGTTTATTCTGCAGTGAATTCCAGGAGCTGTGCAGTGCTAAGAAAGTCAAACAATGCACAGGAGCAATTCTGCCCCTGCAGTATGCAGACCTGTGCTAGTCTCAGGTGTCTAGAGTGGTTTTGGGCAGCCACAACACTAAACTGAAATAGCAGAACATTTGGGAAGTTTTTGTAAAAGACTTTGAACAGCACTCTATGGCCGCAAAGGAAAAAGTTGATGTTAGTTTCTGATAAAAAATACTTCCTTATTCTCATTTTAAACAAATGCATTGAATTATTGTCTTTACATAAGTAATTTATTTGCAGCAAGGAAAGAGACATGAATGACAAGTCTGTATCTCCTAAACATATTCTTTACTTGACTGATTACAACAGGTATCAGTTAATCTATCAATATAGAAATATTTGTAAGTTACAGTAGGAAAGACCTGTTAGAATTGGGTTTGGTGTAATTTTCTATCAGGGTTTTAGGTTCTATGCATGTGTTTTCAAGGGGATACTGCTAGAAAATTGCTGCTATTATGCCTGTTTCGCTATTCAAATATTTGAAGCTCTAGATTTTTAACCACACTTGTATGCATAATACTCATTTTCACTTCAGCTAATTAATATAATGCTGCCTGTGGAATGTTTAAAAATCATCTCTCATTTCCGTTACTTTTTATATTGTATTAAATAAATCCATTTGAATGAAAATAAGTCACTTTATGTTTGTTCATTCCTATAGGAAGATATAAAATCGTTAACGGCTCATGTAATTGAAAATTACTGGAAGGCACTGGAAGATGTAGATTATGTGCAGACATTCAAAGGTCTGAAACTACGATTTGAGCAACAAAGGGAAAGACAAGATAATCCAAAACTTGACAGGTAAAATGCACTAAGTGCTCTTCTCAGTGTATCAGTACTTTAATTCTGTTTTGGGAATATTGGTGGGTTGTTGCATGATAGTAAGAAATGTAAATAATTTAGACTGCTGCTTGCATCTCGGGCATTGTTGAATTTACTTGATTAATAGTGTGATTTCCAGATGTGTTGCTTCAAACTCTTGATGAGCTTTGAGCTAACATAGTAGTTGCGGGACCCCCAGTAATAATGCTAAGTTGTCATATCCTAAACTTACGTACATTATTGTAATGAGCCTGTAAGGCTGTCAAGTATCTGAAGTTAATTTGCTTAAATAACAGATTCCCACTGTTTGATTTGAAAGATTGTTCAGTTGTGAATTATCATTCTGTGAATTTTTCCCTCAGAAATTCGTATCAGGTTTCCTTTTATTTTAGTTGTGGGAGTAGATATTTAGACAAGTTCTACCAAAATGATTGAGAAATGGAATATACAAAGGAATTTTCAGAGGATGCTTTTTTGTCACTGTTAGATTTGCTGATGGAGTAAAAAACAATCTGATGTAACACTTGAATCACTCCTACTGTTTGCCAGAGCACAAGTTCCCTTCCTTAGTACACAGTTGCCCAAGTTTAAAAGGTTAGGGTGTCTAAACCCAGGAAGTTGAGAACTTTTTACTCCATTCATCTGTGGCAAATGGTATTACTTTTATTTGTAGTTTCATTCAAACAAAATGGACTGCTTGTGTGAATAGATGAGTTGCTCTTAAGAATTGTTAGCAAGATCTGTTCTGTTGTCTTGAATTAGTCTGAAAACACATAAAAAAAATAATCCTTGTTATTCATACTAGGACATCTTGAAATTTCAGACTTTTAAGTTACTTTATTTCCTACCACAGAATTTCTTAACCAATATTTAAATTTGAGACTTGCACAGTTAAAATGAGAGTATAATCATAGATATTTTTTTTAAATATTGAAGCACTTTCAAGAGTTCGTGCAGGATCTGCAGTTTTGAATACTAATGTTTTACGAGTGAGATGTTATTATTTTGGCTTGTGTCAGCTAAGCTTATCACTTAAACAGCTGTGAAATTCAAGCCTACGAATCTTATATTAATGCATGTGTTGGAAAGAACACCCAGCCACTTCCTTCAGTAATTTCCACCCAGTATAGGAAGTAAAGCATTAGTCTTTTCTTAGCTTAAGTTGAGCTAAGTGATCGTGTATAGTTGTGCTGCATTAGTCTATCCAACAGAGTATTACACCTTCAAGAGGTTTGTAGCTCGACCAGCACAGTTTTTACCTTCTTCCTAGCATCTTACATAGTAACTGCAGAAGCACTGTCAGTCATGTAATTTTCTTAGGTGAAAACCCAGAAATAATAAAATGCAAAAATAACAAGAATCTGTTTACACATTTTAGCAAAGAACAGTTCAGTAAGGAAGGAGGCCAAAAATTTTGTTGACATGGGCCAGAAAAGTATTCAGAAAAGTACCACTTAAGTAAGTTTTGCATTGTTAGCAGAACTTGAATTTAAATGCAATGTAAAGTGATGCAGTATGTGTAGATCCAGATGATAGTGTTGGCAAACAAATAATTCAGAATTAGATTTATTTTTGAAAGTACATTTTAGTGTTCTTATTTAATACCTTTTTTAATTTCCTAATTTTTCCCTTCTGGCTTTTTCCTGCAGTCAATAATGCAAGACCTTTTCTCTGAATAGAATAAGCTCGGATTGTATTATTAACATTTTGATTCCAGTAACAGAGGCTTTATGAAAAACATTAAATTTCAGACTTAGATTGTGGCCAGGAAATTTTGAACAAGTGCTACAGAAAATTTGTCAAGGGTTTCATGCTTTTTTTGCAAATTGACGGTTAGAATCAACATCTAGCAATGAAAAGAGTGTTTTCAACCTCTCTTCCATTTCTCCCCGTTCTTCAGGGTGCATGTCACTGTCCCTCTCCTCCAAGGGCATAATACTGCTTCCATGAGAAAAAAGAAAAGGAAGGTGGAGCTGAGATAGACCAACACTAATAGATCCAATGGGGAGGGAGAAGTAGCACTTTGTATCCAAGGCTCTGGTGAATGGAAAATAATGATAGTGACCAAAAAAATGTAACAGGTGGATGTGGCAGAAGGAGAGACCTCTCTTTCTAACGTATCTATTTTAAACTGGAGTCATATTTAATTTAGATTTTGCGTTGGGTTTTTTTTTCCTTTAACACATGGGACCCCAAATACTGATGAGTTATAAAGTATTTTCAGAAAAAAAGTCTATAGCTTCTAAACTCTTTATTTTACAACTTCTATTTACCAGTGCAAACTGTTAAACCAAGCCTGAATGCAACACTTCAGTGAAATTTATTAAAATTATTTTAATAGTGCTCTTTGTAAGCTACAGAATAGTGGACAGATAGAGTAGTCTGAATGTGCTATTAGCAGAGTTGTACTTTATTTGCTTTTTTATGAAGAAAAGGTTTTAATTGTATTTGCATTGAAAAGACAAAGGCTCACATTGCAGAATGATTTGTTGGTATTTTTATTGCTCTACATTTGTATCTGTAAGCTGTCACTGTAAATATCGACTAGAAGTTTTATTATTAATTAGAGTTGGGTTTTGAATCAAAAGTTTTAAAACTTACTGTTCTGCAGCATGCGTTCCATTTTGAGAAACCATAGATACAGAAGGGATGCAAGAACCCTGGAGGATGAGGAGGAAATGTGGTTTAATACTGATGAAGACGATATGGAAGATGGAGAGGCAGTGGTGCCCCCTTCTGACAAAACTAAAAATGATGAAGATATCATGGACCCTATCAGTAAATTCATGGAAAGGAAAAAATGTAAGTGATGAGAAGAACAACGCCTTACGGCTTTTAGAGGAGCCATAATTGTATTCTTCAGTCCTACTGCAATGAAGGATTTGCATATGTTTATTCTGAAGTTCTTTGATTTTGAAATTGTGACACCAAGGTGGTGGACCACCCCTTCAAAACAAGTTCTGTTGTCTTTAAAAGCAGAATGATGCAAAGTACTGTTGTTGATTTCTTAAAACATTTGAACGACAGTCTTAGCTTATAGGTTTTCCTGTGTTTTATTCAGGTTTAGAATTCAAAATTTTTGATGTAAATGTTCAGGTGATATTATTGGTAGAATGAAAGTGTTCATTCCTGGCCAGTGACAACAGCTGGTAGGTGGTATAGTAGTATGTTTATAAAAAAACTACATAAAGTATTAAGCCTTTTCCCTCACAGTAAAGTGATTTTTAATTAAATGTTTTACTCAATGATACTGCTTTACTTTTGCTTTTTTTTTGTGTTTATTTTTTTCTCTCTAGTAAAAGAGAGTGAAGAGAAGGAAGTTCTTCTGAAAACTAACCTTTCAGGTCGTCAGAGCCCAAGTTTCAAGCTTTCCTTTTCCAGTGGTACAAAATCTAACCTTACCAGCCAGTCTTCTGCAAGTAATCTGCCTGGATCCCCAGGGTCTCCCGGATCCCCAGGGTCCCCTGGGTCTCCAGGATCAGTTTCTAAAAGCACATCTCAGATGGCAGCTATTACAACTAAGGTAATTTTGAATGGACATAGGTTGACTTCATTGTTACAGACTAGGAATTTGCTTTAGCATCTCTCTCAAGTTTGTGTGAATTCTGACATGTTAAGCAGTAATGGACTGTCTGGTTTTTGTGTACTTTTCATCTGGCCTTAGGATTTTTAAGATGACATATATAGAAAGAAGAAATAAAAGGTCTTTTAATGCCCAAACTCTTAAAGTACAAAGCGGACGACTAGCTGCTGTTTACATTGATCTTTACTGTGAAATACAGACAACAGTTTACTTTTGTTAAATTGCACACTGATATTTGGCAGGTAGAAATACAGAAATACTTTGGCAACATTGCCAAATTTTGACAGAATTTCTACTTGATATCATTCTGAACAATATTAAAAATGGTAAAACTGGCACATGTGAAAGAAATCAATTGTATTATGGAGGGGTGGTTGCTGTAAGCCAAAACATAAACAATTTTTAATATCCTAGCATGACCTTTTTACCTTTTGAAATAACATATAGTTTTGGGTTAGAACGTATTGAAGTAGAAGAAAACCCATTTAAAAGAGTCAGTATAACTTGCAGTGAATATCCAAACCCAGCATTTTTAGTACACTGTTGGATTTTATCAGATTTTTGGCTAAAACACTATTTAAACCAAGTCGGGGAAATAAGAGTGGCTGGTCTTTTCTCAGCACTAGGGGACAGATAAGGTAGTGTTGGTACAACGTAGTTCGGATAATGAGAATTTATTTTCATAATAAGTGTTACCATTTCTCAAAGGTCAGGTACATATCTCAGTTCTCAGGTAGCCCCCGAATAACTGATTCATCCTTGTTTTTTAATGCCACCATACTGCTAGTTCATCTAACTTCTAGTAAAGGCAAATGGGGTTTTAGTTTTTTTCTTATAGTCAAACATGGCTTAAGAATTTGTGTTTGGACTACCTTCTGTTGAAAACTCCTGATTGAGAGGAGTTTGGCTGATGGAAGACCTAAGTGACACTTCCTCTAAATCCTTCTGTGGAGGAAGGGAAAGCAGATTTATTTCATTTATGAAAAAAGTACGGTAGTTAGTCAGGCGCTTTTTAAAAGGGATAGAATTGGCTTGGAATTTAGTTCAGTCTATTCTGTATTTCTGCTGGAGGCTTATTCTCTCCCAGAGAGCATAATTCCTTGAATCTGAAATGGAGACTTTACATATGGAGCATATTGCATACAGCATTGGCTCCAAAATTTCAAGTTGTGGTGGCAAAAGAAAAATATTCAGGTAACACTGAATATACAGTGCTCTGAAAAAACATTCGTGGATTCAGGCATAAGCTACCTTCTTCCAGTAAAATGTATGCTGTAAATGTGCCACAGTTGCAAACTAGAAACTGTTGAAGTTGGGTTTTTCGTTAATTATCTGATCCTGTTATTTTACTTGTAGTATACTCAGTGTTACATTCTATGTGACTGTACAGAATGTGTGTAATTGTTTATTGAATTGTATTTTGGTATACAGTTGGCTGAAATTTTCTGGTTTGGATGTCTGTCATTAGACACCTGAATAGCTAGTATGGCCTTTGAGTGAAGTACCAGTAACTGCCATTGTAGTCAAATGCTGGTTAAGCTTCAGAGATTGCAACGTGCTGTATTTAGAGGAAGCTTTAGAAGTCCATGCCGCTTCTTCAGGGATCCAGAGCTGCATAACCTTAAAATTTATGGTTATTTGCAATGCAGGGGAGTTACTATACATTTAAACTAGCTTTTGTGAAGATAGACTGTGTTCTAAAAGTATCATAATTTGGAAACTCAAATTGAAGGATATTCTGTATTTGTTTCTGAAGTGCTTCGAGATTGCTCATTGCTGCAGTCAGCTACGCTCAGTAAAAAAAAAAAAATTTACATCTTTACAGATAGAGCTGCAATGACACTTAGAAAAACTAAGTAGATTTTTGGATTTTCTTAAATTTCAACTATCCGGTTGGATAACTAAAACCCCATTTTGGATTTACTCATCTAAAACGTTTTTCAGACAATGTCATTTTCATTCATACCAAGGCATTTGTTTTTGTTCTGCTTCATTTTGTTCAAAGCTTCGTGAATCAGTATGCTTATGGCAATATTCTGTACAAACATTTTCGAGTACAAATGTGAAGGATCAATGTTTGTTAATTATAGTAATTGTGTCTGTCTTTGTAGGGAGGCCTCGTTGGGCTTGTAGATTATCCTGATGATGATGAAGAGGATGATGAAGATGAAGATAAAGAGGAAACTTTACCTTTATCAAAGAAAGCAAAGCTTGAGTCATCATAATGGCAACTGCTGAAGAACATTACCAGTTGGGGAAAGGATATTTTTTCCAGAAATAAAACAAACCCACAGCAAAGCAGCAATCTTTTGTGAATTCCTGTGTGTGACACAGATCAACTTATACAAACGGATTTCTGCCAATCAAGTGCCAATTCAAAGGAGCAGAAGAAGGAGAAATATTTCGTTTAGCGGAAAGACTTAATGCCTTTGAGCTCTCCAGCTTGGACCACACATTGCCCTTTTCTCAGGGAAGGAAATGGAAAACAAAACAAAACAAAAAAAAAAACTACAAAAAAAAAAAGCCAACAGGGCAGGAGTTTTGTTAGTGGAACTGTGGATTGGCTGGTCAGTTGCTACAATCAGAATATGCTTTCTTGGACCATGTATGAGACTTCTGAAGAAAAGGTGGTTTTTGCCATAGTTCTTCACTAGTTAAGAATGCCAGCAGTTTCTTTGTATAAAAGAGACCTGCCTTTGAAATCGTACATTCTGAACATTTTAGTCAAGCTACAACAGGTTTTAAAAACCTCTACAGGGGAGGGCCGAATATAAAGTTTCCTCTTTTTTTTTTTTTAATCTGTTCCCTTTGCCCTTTAAACTGCAGAATTTTTTTTGGAGGTGGGGGATTTGTTTGTCCCTTCTTGATTAAAGATTGAGTGGAATTCTAGATGTGGTCACTTTTGTGTCATAATTTTTTCCCCCCCCCTGAGTGTATGCTTAGTTGTTGAGTATATATTTGGGACCATTAAAATTTTTTGATGTAATATAATCTCACTGTTGTGCTGGTACCTGTTTCACCCTGTGTAATTTTGTTCTGCATCACAGTTCTTAATATGTTTAGGATTTTGTGGAAGATGGTATAGTTTTTATTGGAAAAAAAAAAATAATCTTACCACAATGTGCATAAAAGCAATACTATTTTGTGACTAAATATTTTATATTAAATTTTACATCAGCAACTGTCTTGAGAAAAAAATCAGGGAAATAGGATGGAATCAAAAATTTGAAACCTATAAATATGAAATTAGTATTCCAAAGAGACTGAAATTTCGTAACTGAGAACAATGATGGTAGACTAACTCATCAAAATGCAAGATGGATGATTTAGGAATACCAATATATTGACTCATTTGACTTACAAAAATAAAAAAGAAATAATTAAAGTTGAAGGAAAATGGCATTAATGGTATTTTTTTAAAACCTCTGATTCCCTTTGGAATACCAGTTCTAGTGAATTAAAGATGGTTGTAGAATAAACTCTTTACAAGGATACCATCTTTTGAAATTTATTCTAATGCTCGATTGCAAAACAGCAATTAAACCATGGGTCTAACTAAATGACTACATCCTTTCCCCTTTTTCAAAAAGCTACATAATATTAATTTGAAACTAAATGTTATATCCTTCTTCCTTATTGCTTTTACAGAAGGCTTTGATGGCACAGCAGTGCTTCCTGCGAAGGGCAGTTTGTTCTGTTCCTTTGCAAACAAAAGACCCCTTCTTACATACATTTTCAAGAGTTTCTTTCCTTTTGGACATTCAGAGCACCAATGTTGCAACAGTCGTGATGTTACACATTAATGTATCACATACAAATAGAAACAAGGAATGAAAATGTGAGGCTGGATCACACCTGATCACACCCAAGTGTAGGTTAGCACTTTGTTCTGAAAATCGTGGGTTGCATGGCAGATTCTATGCTAACTACAAATGTCAAAGCTTTTGTGCTCGGACTTTATTAATACATATCAGTAATTTCAGATTTAAATAAGAGTGTGCATTAGGGTAAAGTAATTAGACATCTCTTTTCCTCAAAAAATTGAAATCACTTTCCAAGGTTGGGTTTTTACAGTGTGTTTGAAATGTCTGTGACAGGGCAGTTCTCAGCAATAAATTTTACAAGGAGTGCAAGAGTTGAGCACTTGGTCGCTACAAGACTAGATACGATCTGCTGTTGCTGCAGTATGAGAGTCCTCATGCTGTCTCAACGACCTGCCTGAAACCTCATTTTTGCAACTTCGGTGTCAGAGCAGGCATTGTGACAAGGAAATCTGTAATTTTGCAGGTTTTCTTAATTAGCCTGAATTTAAATCCTTCCCAATCTGTCAGATTTTCCTTGAGCATAAAGCTCTCAAAATGTGTCCTTATAGTTGTCTTTGTGTGCTCCAGGCTGTATCTTAGGGAGTCATTTTTCTGAGTTGGTTGAAGGAACACTTTTTGTTGAATTTTTTTTTTTTATTTTTTTTTTTTTTTGGTGTTCTTTCAGCTAGTGAGTGCTTGATCTTTTGATGTTTGGTGCTGCAGTCTTCTAAACTTTCAGATGCTTTCATAATACTCGTAGGACTCTTGGTTTTTAGACTTCCAGTGCTTTCTGAAGCATTACATTTAACAGAAGGAATACTACCCTTAAGTTACTGGGTTCAGTCAAAACAGTAACGGAAGTAGGAATATTTTTCAACTTTTTATATTTTTATGAAGCTCTAAAGGACTGCTAAAATACTAAGCCACGCATCTTTTAATGCTGTCTGACTTGGCAGTTTGATGGTTAGTTGTCTTTCCAGAGATCTCATGCTTGTGGCCTGACAGGACATGGCTACACTTAAGCGATATATACATATTCATGGCAGTTGGCAGTAGTCAGGAAGTAGGTGAGCTGGGGACGGTGGTGGGTATGCTCTTGCCCGGTGACTTATCACTTTTGTATTCATGGAAATCTTGAGGTATATTTCAGGAAAAAAGGGAAATAGTGGCATTGTGAGAAGTGATGGGTATAAAAAAAAAAAGTGAGAATGAGTTAAGAGATGGAAAAATGATGTTATGAGACAGTGTTCCATTCTAGATCTTTCTCTGGCCTGGTGGGGTTTTCTTACTCTTTGTTTTAATACCATTTGTCTGCATCCCAAGAGAGCTGCGCATATATTGTATTAAGCATGGCTCAGTCATCATAATTGCATTTCAACTGCATCCTTACATACGGTTTACAGGGTAAACCCTTAAATATCGTACAGGCAAGATCCAACGTGCTTGAATCATCAGTGCAGGTGCCTGTATTCCTTCAGAGGTTGAAAGATTTGATGCTGGTGACGCTGATGCGTGCTTCCCAGCTTTGAGCCTAGGTTTGCTGGGGATACCAGGCAAAAGTATATAGAGCACCAGGTCCTCCAGGGAAGCACACCCTTACACTGCTGAAAGTAAATGCAGGTAATCTGGCATATTTCCAGATTTTCTTCCACTGTACACAGAGGGCGGCTGTTTTCAGGTAATGGTGCACATCACCAAAAAACAGATCTCTTGTGTCATGAGAGCGGAAGGATCTGGAAGCTGGTGTATCTAACAGTGAGTTGCCTCTAAAGCGTACCTGTCCGTACTATGGCCACTGGGTGAAGAAGATGAGGCTGTTCATCCATCTCTCCTAGCCCACCCAGATGAGAAGTCATGTTCTCATGGAATTAAGTGTCACGTAGGCCCAATCCTTTTAACATACCAAGGGTGAAACTGTTCAGATGGGTTTGGGCTGTGTTTTTACATCTCTGCAAATTTCAGGAACTGTTTTAATGAGGTAACTGGTAAGAGTCTGTTCTCATACTGCTGCTGTGGCTCCGTTAGGGAATGAGCTACCTTTCAACCTAGCACACGTTACGTTGGTTGCCATGCTAAATTATGCTTCCTAGCATCTGTGGAGCAGGCACAGAAGTTCAGCCTTACCTTTCTCAGCTGCTTTACAGCTTGCAGAGTCATCCCGGAGCAATGCTGTCTGTGCTAGTCTTGCAGTTCCCCTGCCTTGGCGATATCGAGATCCATTCCAGGTAAGCTGTGAAAGTAGGAGACCAGATGGGTTACTGCTTGGGCTCACCCGCAGCCTCAGCATAAAACCAGGCAAGCATTCAAAGAAGAGAAGTTACCCACCAGTGAAGTTTTTCAAGATAAGTTGTCCGTGGGCATGTTCTCCACCTGCTCCTACTGCTTTCTCTTTTTGGAGTCCAGAAGAAATGAAGGTGTATATACAGCTTATGGTTCAGTCCAGAAAGGAGTGCTGCAGGTACAGCAAAACCACCTGTGGGAGGATTTTGTAATGCCTGCTTGAACCAGAGCCACTGTTTGAAGTCTGTTACTGGTGCGAGGGAGGCGTAACTGCATTCTCATAGGTGGCTGGTTATCTGGCCGGCTTGTATCTCAATTCAATATGAACAATTCCCTAAAGCGTTGGATCTTCAAAGACATTCTGGCTTTATAAGGACATTTGCTAGTGATGATTGGTAGGAATGGATACTGATTAAATCTTTAACATAATCGAAAGATGTTCCATTTGATACACTTCAGTTCTTTCTAATTTCCCCTTTTCCCTTTAAAGTGGCCAGTAACGGTCCCTAGTGGGGTCTTATCAGTTCTGCTCATCTCATGATTCCCAGTTAATGCTGCTGGTGTAGTTCTGCTTTACCTCCTGCCAAAGAGAGAGAAACTGAGGAACGTGGATGGCAATCATCTGCCTTGGTTATGTGCTGTACCTTGATGAGAACCCAAGCTTTTGGATAAAATCCCCAAGCCTTTACAAAATTATTTTGGTCCTTGCATCTTCAGGAATCCTTCTCAAACAGACCAGGCCCTGTAGTGCCTTTAAAACCTACAAGACACCTTCCCCTCTCTGCTGCTGCTTCAGATGACATCTTGCCCTATGTGCTGGTCATGTAGTTCCCACGCTCTTGTAACTGAGCTCACCGCTTTAGATCACCACCAGCAGCCTTTATATCTAGCACCTTTTTAGCCAAACGTGTCTAACCTAAATGAATTTGTTCTCTTTCAGGCTCACGAGCATTCCTCCGCCGCTGTGGCACTTGCTGCCTCTCCGAAGGGTTATGCTGTCTGGAGGAGGTTATGCCGTCATTCTTGTGTTTGCCTGGGATGCGAATACTCCTCCCTTGCTTTCAAGTTCATGCAGAGAGCCAAAACCCACTGCCGCTCCTTCGTTTTCTCCCCGTATCTCTTGCTTAGTACTGACTTTATTGTTTGCCTCATGTACTTGACTCTGTATTTATTTTCTATGGACTCAGAGGTTTATGAGATATTCTGCCCAAACTCTCTCTCCTTGGGTTTTATATTCTGTATTAATGTTAATCTCACCAGCTAGCTTAAATATCAGCACCGAATGAACATCCCGCCCTGCATCAAAGGTTACTGCTAGGTTTTCGGGGAGTTTCTCATCCTAGAGTCATATTTACAGGAAAGCTGCTTAACGACAGTCCCAAGCAAAGGGGGAGAAAAAGCCCTTTCCTGATTACCATGAGTTTAACTCCCGCATTGTAA